ATCCATCTCTTTTTCTGAATATTTCAGTACCAGAAGTCAATCCTTTACTTAGCTCATAACAATCAGGAAGGGGGTTTCTGACAGTTGAGACCAAATGATCAGGATACCATCCACAGAGGAGCGGATACACACAGCATGTTCCCTCCACACTGGAACATCGCTCAGTCAGGAACAGGGTGAGGCTCTGACACACGCTATGACATGGAGGGACCTTGAAGACACCTTGCACAATGGGAGAACCAGACACAAGGCCCCACAATGTGACTCCATTGATAGGAACCATCCAGAACAGGTGAATCCAGAGACAGGAAGTGGACTCATGGTTGCCAAGGGCTGGGAGGAGATGGGGGGTGACTACTCATGGCACTTGGTGTTTGTAGGAGGTGATGAAGAAGTAAGAAAGGACAGAGAAATGGCAGCCACAGAGCATTATGAATGCAATGAATGTAACTGCCTTGTGCACTTTAAAATGATGTGTAATAAAAAATAATAAGCCTGGCACCGGTGGCTCACACCTGTAATCCTAGCTATGCAGGAGGCAGTGATCAGAAAGATCGCTGTTCAAAACCAGCCCAGGCAAATAGTTCGTGAGACCCTACCTCAAAAAACCCTATCACAAAATATTGGGCTGGTGGAGTGGCTCAAGGGCCCTGAGTTCAAGCCCCAACACTGCAAATAAATACATAAATAAAGATTGAGATGCATTTACTTGATGTTTGCCTTCCCCTCTGCTGGCCCCTGTCCCTCCCACGCTCCTTCCTTCTGGATCCCAAGGGCCTCTTCATATTCTCCCCAGTGTTTCATGCAGAATCACTTCTCCTCCCAGGTCTGGCCACACAAAGGCATGTGACCCACCCTGACCGTCTGATCCTCCAGCGCCCTCTGACTGCTCTGCACCTCCTCTATTTCTTCTGCACCTTCTCTATTTCTTCCAATTTCCTACACCAGCCTGTGTCTGTATAGTCACTGTTTTCTCCCTCATCCCCAAATGTCAGCCTTTCTCCTGGCCCGCATTCCATTACAGCAACCTGGTGGACTAGGTATACTTACGCACAGACGTCCAGGGTGCCGCTGAGGGCAGAAAGTCAGGATGCTACTTATGTTTGAATTATGTTTTGCAAGAACATAAGTGCATGAAAATGGATGGGGAAAAACAAAAAGTGACCCTGTGATCTCCCCCAGAAGGGAGTGTGGCTGTGGGATGGAGTTTGATCTGTTAGGTTGCAGTTATACTAGGAAGAAAGCATGAGTGAGTTATGTTTGGAATTGAAATGGTTCAAAAGGGAATTGGCTTTGGGGAGTGTCTGGGGGTGGGGCTGGGTTCTGGTCCTCCCTGTTGATCTTGAGATGGCCTCCAGCACCTCCCCCTCCAACAGAAGTGTACCAGCACTCAGCCTGCAAGTCAGTGTCACTGGATACCAAGTCCTTGGTAGAGCTGGGCCAGGGGCACCAAATGTCTGGTGCAGTCCTGGCTGTAGTATGCCCCTCCCCCATGCAGCATCCACCTCAGGGAAGGGACAACTATCGACTCCCACAGTGTTCAAGGTGCTGTGTGGGCACAGGTGGTGTGTGAGTGGAGACTGCTTCTCCCAGGGGTGCTGTTTTTCATTTTAATGTTTTTTCCCTGGTTAGAGAAAATATGCTTTAAGAATTGAATACAATGTCTGTAAATATTTTAGTTTCTACCTCTAATTACAGGGCTCTCCCTTGGTCCTTCCCTGGGTGGGGTCCTAGGGCCTGCAAAATGTTGAGAAGCGTCCCTGGTCCCTCTACAGCAGAAGCACCCCAATAGTGACAGCCACACATGTCCCAGTGTCACCTGGAGATAGAATTACCCAGTTGAGACCCCCTGGGTCAGGGGACATCATGAACCCCAGGAGACCCGGTGCACGACTGCCTGCCCTGCTGTGGTTCTAGTACAGTACCCATATTGACACCCACACACTTAGGGTGGAGGAGAGAAGAGGTCAGCCCCAGAAGCTGGGGTCCCCTGGCTCATAGCATCTGTCCCTCGGGATTGTGTTCTGTTCTCTGATGGGAGCTGGGGTTGAACTCAATTCTTTTTCCCATAATAATTCAATTTCTTAACATTCATACCTTAACATTTGGGGCTGGGTCATTCTCTGTGGGGGTGTCCTGGGCCCTGCAGGGTGCCAAGCGTCCCTGGCCTTGCCAGGGGCTGCTGCAGTCATAACAACCACAAATGTCCCCAGACATGGCCTAGTGTCCCTTGTGGCAGAATCACCCCTCCCCATTGAGAACAAGTACTCTAAAGGATAGAAGTTTTTTTTTTTTTAAATCACAATATAAAGCACTTTTTTAAATTAACAATAATTTCTTAACTTTAATAATTGCCCATTTGGGCACACTTCCACAGATGTCTCCATACATATCACATGTGTATATTGGGGGCAGGTGGGCTTTTTTTTTTTTTTCTTTCTGCAGTTCCATCCATTTTCCTGCAAATGACATAATTTCATTTTTCTTTATGTCTGGTAATATTCCATTCTATATAGAGATATAGATATATAGATATATATAATATGCCTTATTGATTCTACTGTTATTGGACACATAATCTGATTCCACAGTTTGCCCATTGTGAAGAGAGATACAGTAAAACACATGTGTATAGGTACCTCTCCTGTACAGTGACTTTGCACTATTTTAGATATGTGCTGAATAGTAGTAGTATGGTAGAGTCATAAGTTAGGTCTATTTTTATTTGAGGAAATTCCATACTGATTTCCATAGTGTTTGAAGTGGTTTAAGTGTCTGTCAACACTGTATGAGGGCTCCTTTTCTCTTGCATGTTTACCAGCATTTGTTGTTGTTTGATTTCTTGCTGATAACCAATAACCAAGAAGGAATCTCAGTATAGTTTTGATTTTATGTTTCCTTTATAACGAAGGATGTTGAACATTGCTTCATGTATTTTTTAGCCTTATGTATTTCTTCTTCTGACAACTGTCTATTCCATTGATTTGCCCATTTATTGATTGGATTATTTGTTCTCCTTCTTTGTTTTTGAGCTTGTTGCATATACTGCGTATTAATCCCTTATCTATTGAATAACTGGTTCAGGTTTTCTCCCACTCTTTGACATGTCTTTTGATTCTGGTAACTATTTCTTTTGATACTCAGAAACTTTTTAATTTGATGCAGTTCTATTCATCAAAATAATCCCTTTCATTTCTGTCCTACAGGAAATTATGCATGATTGTATCTTCCCTAGTTTTTCCTATAATAGTTGCAATATTTTAGGTCTTACATTCAGATATTTGGTCCATTTATAGTTGACTTTTTACAAGGTGAGAGAAAAGGTCTAGTAGTAGTCTTTGGCATGTAGATATCCAGCGTCCCCAGCTTACATGACAAGTCCCTTACCCTTCTTCTAAGATGAGTGTCTAGATCCTGTGCTTCCCAAGGATCCCAACTGTGTGGAAGGCATTGCAGAGAGTATGTGTTCCTTTTTTCGTTTTGTGGTACTGGGGTTTGAACTCAGGACCTACACCTTGAGCAACTCCACCAGCCCTTGTGATGGGTTTTTTTGAGGCAGGGTCTTACAAACTATTTGCTTGGGCTGACTTCAGTCTGAAATTCTCCTGATCTCTGCCTCCTGAGTAGCTAGGATTACAGGCGTGAGCCACCAGCACCTGGCAAAACAGAGAGCCTCCTTTCGCTATAGTTCTTAGGTAGACTTTATTACCTCTTGGATTTTTTTTGTTTTTCTGTACTGGGGTTTGAACTCAGGTCTTCACGCTTGATAGGCAGATGCTCTTACTGCTTGAGCCACTCCACCAGCCCCATGCCTCCAACAGATGAGGAAAATAAGGTCTGGACGTGCCTGTAAGTGGCATAGCTGGGACTTGAACCTTGGTTTCCTAAAGCTTCACTCAGCAACACTCCAGTGCAAAAGTTATTTCTGTGCATCAGAATACACACCCTGGGCACAGTCAGGAGCCCCATGCTGGTAAATGTGCCTTACAGCTCTAATATGGAGACAGAAGCCACAGTGGGATCAGTAGTGATTTCCAATTGAAACCCCAAAGTCCTCAGCCTCCCTTAATGTCCCCCTGTGTGTCTTCCCATTTCTCTCCCCCACAAGAGGCATGGCCAGTTGTATCTAATGAGTCCCCCATTGTTGGGCACTTAGCATGTTCCCCTTTTCAGTATCAGAAGGGCCTCAGTTTCTTGATTCTTACCTGCTAAAAGAGCTCCACCTCTGGGGCCCCCAATCTTTTACCAGCCAGGCCATGAATTTGGAACTCCAAGTACCATGGTGACCCTGTGGGTCCATGTCCCCATCCCAAAGAAAAATGCAGATGTCCAGAGACAGGGTGGGCCTGGGCCTCCCATCTCAGGAGCAGTAGGGGCCAGTGGTGACAATGGGCAAAGAGGGCTTCCTCTCCCCAGGGAAAGCTGACCAGGTGCATGGAGCCAAAGGCTTCTTCTCCACTTGAGAGTAGGGGACAATTGCCTGTCCTGATTCTTCAAGACTCCAATTCCTGGCTCATATCTCTGCCTGCTAGCTGTCCATCTTTCTTGTACTTAACAATCTAGCCACAGTGGCCAGCTCTGAGCACATTGTCCACCCCTGTGTGATTTTGGTGGGAGGTTCGCCAAACTCCTCATTGCCCATCCATTAAGTGAATGTCCCCTACTGTCAATTTCGGGCACACACCATTTCCTGTGCTAATTCCTGCACAAGTGAAAATCTAGTTCACCTCCACCACGAGAATGCCCCACCTCCCCACTCCTGAAGCTCCTGGAACTCTTTTCCCCAAAAAGACACAAACGGCAGCTTACAGAGTCTTTTCTTTCAAGAAAAAAAAGAGCAAAGGTTCTTAAAAGTCTGGACTGAACAGTCATGTCACAAGACAAGGATCCACCGTCCCGTGCCTCCCACATGCCCCCCAGCTCTCCACAGGGACATCCCCTGTGGGCGAGCAGTAGGAATAGAAGTGGATCCTGCCCCAGGTAGAGGTCTGCTTCCACCCTCAGGGACACTGGACACTTTGCAGCATGTGGAACGCAAAGAGGAGGCACTGGTAGGCCGCAGGGACACAGCCGTGACTCCGCAGAGCACTCAGTGAGTAGCAGGCTCTGGGTTGGCCTGGCTCCCGGTGGGTGAGCAGCAGCCCCTCACCTTCGCCACACAGTACCAGCTGGTCCTGAGTGGCACCAAAGTTGACCTACCAAGGGTGAGAAGCTGAGGTCATGGGGAGAAGGAGCTCCTGCACCTGCCCCCAGCCCCAGCCCAAGTGAACTGAACTGACAGCCCCACCTGAGTCTTAATGCCTGCCCCACCTGGAAGCCCAGGCTCCGCTGTACTGGGGAAAACCAAGGCTCAAATGGGGACTTCCCTACCCATGGCCACCCTATAAGACTTCCACTCTTAATCCTATGCCCCCTCATTGAGCATTAGTGTCCCAGCTTCAAGTGAGGTCACTTGTTTTTTCTTTTTTTGTGTGTGGTACTGGAACCCAGGACCTTGCTACACCCCATCCTTTAAATTTTTTTATTTAAAAAAAAATTTTTGGTGGGATTAGGGTTTGAACTCAGGGCTTTATGCTTGCAAAGCAGGTAATCTACCCCTAGAGCCACACTTCCAGTCCACTTTGTTCTGGTTATTTTGGAGATGGGGTCTTCAGAACTATTTGCCTGGGCTGGCCTTGAATTACAATCCTCCTGAGCTCAGCCTCCCAAGTAGTTAGGATTATAGGTGTTAGTCACCAATGCCTGGTATGAAAATTTTTCTTTTTTGAAACAGGGTCTCACTGTGTAGCCCAGGGTGGACTTGAACTCTCAATCCTTCTGCTTCAGCCTCCTGAGTGCTGGGATTGCAGATGTGTACCACCACACTCAGCTGGTTTTCTTTCTTTTTTTTCTGGTACTGGGGTTTGAACTCGGGGTCCACTCCACCAGCCCTTTTTGTGATGGGATTTTTTCAAGATAGGGTCTCGAAAACTATTTGCCCAGTGCTGGCTTCGAACCCCCATCCTCCTGATTTCTGCCTCCTGAGTAGCTAGAATTACAGGGGTGAGCCACTGGCGCTGGGTCCAGTTGGTTTTCTTGATTGTTTTTCTGTTTTGTTTGGAGATAGGTTCTCATCTCCCTATGTTGTTCATGCTGGTTTCCAACTCCTGGGCTCCAGAGGTCTTCCTGCCTTAATCTCCAGGCACACTCCACCTCATGGGCTCGATTTTGCAGTTTTTACACATATGGGCCAAAACGTTTAATTATTATTATTATTATTATTTGCAGGAGTCAAATGCTTCCCGGGGCCCCCGCCTCTCACCTGCAGTGTCCCGTCGCTCAGCAGCAGCAGCAGCGCCTGTGGAGCTGTGATGAAGCGCAGCAGGCAGAGGCTGGGCGCGGCGGGCGGCGTGGGTTCGGACGCCGTCCCCTCCTGTGGACGCGCTAGGTCAGGGCCACCGGTCCCCCGCCTCCCGTCCATCGCCAGCCCAGCCCGCCCGGACCTCACCTCTCGCAGCCGTCTCTGCATGTAGCAGGCCAAGAGCCTCAGCACCGCCAGCTTGGCGCGCAGCGGGCCCCGCACGTCCCTCAGGGCGAACGTCTGAAGGTCCCCGCGTGAAGGTAAATAGCACACTTGGCTGCGGGCGAGGGGTGTGTGAGAGTGGCGCCCGGTGGACACCTTCCCATCCACCATGCCCCCCACCTCTGGCCTGTCACCCCTAAATGCACCCCTCCCATCTCCCAGTTGACTCCAGGCTGCTTGCCTCCAACTAAGTCCAGATCCCAGCCCTCTTCCTTGACCACCGCCGCTGCCTGGCTGTCTAGTCCGGCCACCTCCCTGCTGGTCCTTTGTCATTCCCGCCAGAAAGACTGAGTAGTGGCACAGCATGTGCTTATTCTCTGGCCCACACCAAACAGGCTATCTGAGGTCTCCTTCCCCTTGTCTCATTCACTCTAGCTTCTTCACCATTCCTTATATCTGCCACCTTCAGCCCCATCTGGGAGACTTTGCATATGTTGTTCCCTGTGTCTCTAATGCTGTTTCAGGTGGCCTTTTGTGTGTGGTGGGGGGAGCCTGGGGATCAAACAGAGCCTCACAAATAGTAGCCAAACGCTCTCCCACTGAGCCACATCTCCAGGCCATTGGCTCCTTGTTATTTGCGTATAACCTGAACATGACTTCCTCAGAGACCCCTTCCTCACCACCCTTGCCCTCCTAACCTGCACCTTCACATGGTTTATTTCCTTCAGAAAAACACCAGCTGAAGTCAACTTAGTCATTCATTTGTTTAGCATAGTCTACCAGCAGGTGCTTAATACAAATACTTGAGGAATGAATGAAAAAAGGTGGAAGAAGGCCTGGTTCCCACAACTTACCCTCCTGGGGGGCGCAGGGCCATGTGGGTGCCATCTCGAAACAGGACACCACTGCCCCCATCTGAAAGCTGGTAGCCAAAGCCATACTTGCTGGAATAGTCTACCCACTTGGAAACCCAGAGGATGGGCTGCTGCTCCCCAGGGAGGTCCTGTGTGGCTGCTGGGCACAAAAGCAAGGTGAGCTGAGCAGGGTAAGGTGGGACCCCAGGCAGGGGCTGGGCAGGGACCTGGGGCTTTCCCAGTGGGCTAGCAGGCTGAGCAGACATGGGCAGGAGCCCACAGTTTCCTGACCAGTGCCTTGCAGGAGAGAATGCAGGCTCACGAGACACCTCTGGAAATGACTGATCCTGGATTGCTTGTGATGTCCATGAGTTTTGTTTTATTTTATTTAAATTTTTTTGTATTTAAAAATAAAAATCATTCAACTCAGGGCACAGCTGGAGAAGAGGCATTTCTAAAGTTGTCCAGCACAGTGGGATGACTTTAGACGATAATTCATCAAATATTTAAAAATAGCCAGTAGAGAGGATTTTGAATGTTCTCAACACAAAGAAATGATAAATATTTGAGGTGATAGATGCACTAATGACCCTGATCACTACACCCTGTGTACATGTATCAAAATGTCACACTGGGTTGGGGCTTAGTGGTGACTGCTTGATCAGTGATGAGAGGCCCTGGGCTCATTACTGGCACCACGCACAAAACAAAAGTCACGTTATTGTCCATAAATGTCTACTATCATGCCAATTAAAAATAAAAATATAAAAATCATTACTAAAAGTAGTTGCTCAATGCTACATGGGACCCTGGGATAGAAAAAGAGGGTGCTTGTGGAAACTGGAGACATGCATGTACATAGTGTGTGGTATACTCAGTACAGCAGCCCTGTGCGGGTTGCTCAGTTTAGCAACGTGCCTTGGTCACATACACTATGACCAGCTCACGTGCAAAGAGGTGAGTGGTGGACAGGGGTAGTCAGTATTATCTTTGTAACTTTTCTATAAATCTCAAATTATTTTTCTATTTATTAAATTTTTAAAAATTAGCTCTAGTTGATAAAGGGCCTCTTTTTATTTTATTTATTGGGTTTTTGTGTTGTTTTGTTTTGTTTTTTGAGGCAGGGTCTCAAAGCTGGCCTGAAATTCACTAGGTAGACCAGCTAGCCTTTAACTCTTTTTTTTTTTTTTTCTTTTTCTTTTTTGGTAGTACTGGAAGGTTCTCTTGCTTGTTAGGCAGCTACCACTTGAGCCATATGTCCAGTCACAGCTGGCCTTGAACTCTTTTGCATACTTTTTTGTGTGTGTGATACTGGGGTTTGAACACAGGGCCTTCACCTTGAGCCACTCCACCAGCCCTATTTTTGTGAAGGGTTTTTTGAGATAGGGTCTTGAGAACTGTTTGCCCTGGCTGGCTTTGAGCTCTGATCCTCCTGATCTCTGCCTCCTGAGAAGCTAGGATTACAGGCATGAGCCCCCGGTGCCGGGCTTTCTTTTTTGTCAGTACTGAGGTTTGAATTTGGGATTTCTTGCTTGCTAGGCAGGAGCTCTACTGCTTGAGTTATACCTTTAGTCCTTGGCCTTGAATCTTGATTCTCCTGCCTCTGCGTTCTGAGTACTGGAATGACAGGTATGTGTCACCTCACATAGCTAATGGGAGTCTTTAAAGTTTGGAGTCCTAGCCAAGTATGGCTGCACACCTGTAATCTCAGCATTTGGGAGGCTGAGGCAGGATGAAGCAAGTTCCAGGCCAGCATGGGCTACACATGAAGACCTGTCTCAAAAAGAAAAAGTCTACAGTTCTTGTTGTACAGTCAGGAGAAGTTGAAGAGACAGAATCAAAATGGATCACACAGGAAGAAAAGGTTCCCCATTGGGGGAAGCTGACCTCCAGCTGGGATCTGGGGTCCTGTCTCAGAGCAGAAGACTGTGGGTGGCTAGCGGGGTGAAGGGAGAGAAGGAGGAAGGTTTGGGTGCTGGAACACTGAGGGATGGGACAGGGTCTTATCTGGAGTGTGGCAGATGGACAGACACAGGGCTCCATGATGGTTTCCTGGCCAAAGTTAATTCCCCAGCCAGGTTTCCCTTGGCCTGCTCTTTGACCTTCAAGCAAGACTGGGTTAAGAATTTTAGAGATCCCTGAACCTGAAAGAAGGCTGACCCCCAGAGCCTTCCTCAATATATGTTGTGCACCAAACGGCAAAGCAACTTGCTAGAAGTCACCATACCCTGATGTTTCCCAGGGGAGCCCCAGAAATACCCAGGAGAAATACCCTGTGCATGGAGACATGGGCAATCATCCCTGGACACTAAGAGAAAGGGCCAGGCTGGGCTCCTACCCACAGGGCCAACATCCAGACAGAGCCGCAGTTTCCTGATGGCTGCCTCCACCTCCAGCTGTGGGCTCCCATTGGAACCTGAGGAGACAGAGCTATATATAGGAGATATACAGGCCTGGGATCCCACCAAGAGGAGTCCCTCTAACCAACCTCCTCCAGACTCCTGCAACCAGGAAAGTGTCAGCGCAAACCCAGAAGAACCCAGTCATCATGCCCATGTTCCGGGTGGGAAAATTGAGGCTGGGAGCAGGACTGTGACCCCCAGCAAGATGTAGTCAGTACCTCCATGTCTAGATGCTTCCAGCTCACCAAAAGCCCCTACATGGGAAAAGGTCTGCTCACCTGCTGAATCACTTCGCAGGGTCCCTTGCATGAGCAGGTAGATGGGGGCCTCAGGGTAGGGAGCCCTTCTCTGGGATAGGGAGACCTTTGGGAGGAGCAGCAGAGAGGTGAGGGATAGCCCCCACCCCTGAGAGAGGCCTGGGTGGGTGAGGGGCTCCAGGATTCCCCCAAGGGCCCTCCCCAGCCTCTCCCTCTACCTGGCATATGAAGGAATTGTTACCACCTTTGATAAAGCCCGGGAGTTTTTCAAAGGCATACAGTAGGCACTCAGTAAGTGTTATAAAATGAACCAATGGGTGGAAATAGGGTCCCATGTCCTTGGGGAGCCCCAAGGACAGGTAGATATGAAGGACAGATGGGTCCCAGCCCCAGTGGGTCAGGAAAGAACCTCTAAAAGGGAGGGTTTCTGGCCTGGGGGCTCCAGAGCAGGTTGGAGCTTCTAGCAAGTGGTTCATGAAAGCCTTCCCAGAAGAGGGAGCCTCAGAGTGACCAGGGATGCCCTCCGTGGCCCCCCATCTCTCCCTGATAGCTCACCTCGCTGCCCCACTCCATCAAGTCAAGTTCTGGCCCCTCTTCTCCTGGGCCTGGGGCCTCTTTGGGAGTGAAGGGGCCTGAGGGAGGTACAAGGTTCTACGGAGCCTGCCACTCACAACCACCAGGGGTATGGAGTGGTGGTGACCAGGTGGGAGGCATGGTCAGGTGGGAGTAAGGCAGCACAGGTGTGGGCAGGTGAGCTACTCACAGGGTGGCCTGCACTGCGTCCGCAGCAGCTGACCCACCTTCCGAAATAGCCTGCCCAGAGGTGGGGGGAAGGCAAAGATGGGTGGGCTGTGGCAGGAGTGGGGGGGCAGTCGCTGTGGAGTGAAGCCCTGCCGAGTGGGGGGTTTGGGGTTAGCTCCAGCTCACATTGCCTGGCTCCCCAGCACTTGGTCCCAGTGGACCCCCAGTTGACATCATCATGCTGGGTCAGCCCTTGGGGCCACTGCCCACCTGTGTGAAGAAATCATCCTGCAGCAGGTGATCCAGGCTGGGCCGCTCAGCTGGGTTGGGTGCCAGGAGGCGGGCAATGAGGCGTCGTGCATTGGGTGACAAGTGGGCAGGCTCCGGGTAGTGGCCATTACGGATGTTTTGGTACATCTCTGATAGGGGTGCCCCCGTGAAAGGTGGGATGCCAGTCAGCACTGTGTACCTGGATGTGGTGAGGGGAGGAATGAGGTGTGCTCCCACCTACCTACGCACACCTGGCCATACCCACCTCCACGCCCCAACTCTGTACACATATTGGGTCTACCTTTCCACACCTGTGCTCCATGTACTCACACCTGGTCATTCCTTTGCATGCAGCTCAGTAGATATCATCTATCTGTCCACCGGCCTCTACCTCATCACCTGTAACACCTGCATACACCTTTCCAGTTCCTGCTAATGCATGTTTACACCTGCCCCACTGCTGCATAGCCTCACATCTGCACACTCATGCCCTGCAACTGCCACCTGCCCACATCTGGCCACACTTCTATTCACACTCACACATACATACACACATATAGCTTACTCATACTTGCACATTCAAATGATGTCAGGTGTGTTTTCACCTGCCCCCACCTGTCCACTTGTATGCTTACACCTGCCATGCTCCATTCAGCCTTCCCTGGGCACACGCACACCCATTCTGAACTGCCTGTGCATGCTCACTCCTGCATGAACCTGGTCCCACCTGGGCTGTCCTGCCTGCTTCCCCAGACACCAATGCTGTGATCCCACTCACATTATGCAACCCAGAGCCCAGATGTCTGACTGGCATGAGTGTCCATTTCTGGATATCACCTCTGGGGCCAGAAAGTTTGGAGTCCCGCAGAGCACTCTGGGAGGAGAAGAATAGGGGACTCAGGAAAGCTGGGGCTCCATGCCAGATTTGGGGGCACTCAGGACCTCCCACTCTCACCTGTGGCAGTGACCCTCTGGCCCCACCCTGGTGGCTAACCCCAGGTCTCCGATCTTCACTTCCATGTTCTTGTTTAGAAAGAAATTACCTGCAGGTAGAGGAGTGGTGGTGTGTGCAAGGGCAGGCACAGTCCCCAGGTCCCAGCTCCCTGATTCCTTCCCCCTTCCCCACTCACTGAGCTTCAGGTCTCTGTGCACAATGTGCCGCTGGTGCAGGTAGCGCAGTCCACTGACCAGGCCCCGTAGGTAATAGCGCACCTCAGGCTCCGTCAGGGTCTGTCGTGCCTTCAGCACATGGGCCAAGGACTGCAGGGCCCGGCCAGCATTAAGTGGGCAGTGAATTCAAGGGGCTCAAGAAGGCAAAGGGAAACTCAAGTTGACCAGGGCAGACAGGGCTGGTGGCAGGGTGGGCACAGGTGAGCCAAGTTGGGACATATGAGCTCAGATGGGCCAGAAGATCAAACGTGAACACAACGTGGGCATATGCTGGGCTCAGGTGTACTTAAGTGGGCAAAGTGAGTTTAATTGGGGTCTATGAAGGGGCACACCTAAGTTCAGTTGGACCAAGGTGGACATGGCTAAGGGCAGAAGGGGCTCAGTGAGCACAGGTGTCTACAGATGGGCATAGGTGAGACCAGGTGTACCTAGGTGAGTGGAAAGAGCCTAGGTTGGCACAGGTGGGTGAGGATGGACACTGGTGACAGTGCATGATGTGGGCACAGGTAGAAACAGAGATAGCATGGTAGATAGGATTGGGATGAGCAGAGTTACACAGCAGTATGGAGTGGGCGTGCCCCACTCTCTGGCCCCGCCCTATAGCCCCGCCCTCAGATCACCTGGTGGCTGCAGTACTCCAGCACCATGTACACGTGGTCCCGGTCAGCGAAGTGTCCGTGGAAGGCCACAATGTTTCGGTGCCGAAGTCGGCTGTGCAGGGCAATCTCATGCTCCACCTGTGGGCACCGCCCCACACATACGGAGCTCGAAGGTGCCGCCAAGGTTGCCCCACAGGTGCCCCCCAGCATTCAGTTCCACTGCATGCACCCTGCACCCACAGCAGGAAGGAAAGACAGGGACTCCCTGTGATCATGCTGCAGGATGAGGGGCATACCTTCCTCCGAGGGCGCAGGTGTCCAGCATCGCCCCCACCCCATGGCACTACCTTGAGTGCAAACACAGCGCTGGTGGACATGTCTGTCAGCTTGTAGCAGCGACTGAAGGCGCCCTGCATTAGAGGTGGATCGGCTGCTCAGCCACAGGAGTGCCCAGGTGTGTGCCAGCCGGCAGTATTCACAGAAACACAGAGCCACCAGGAACCTTGGTGCCAGGGATTTTCATACACACATGGGACAAAAAGACACACAGCTCACACTCTCAACACATGGACTCAGAAAACACAAACCTTGGCCGTACACTTAGGGACAGGACATGTAATACATCCCAAGCTGGCTGCACAGTCCATGGACCACAATTCAGTGTCTGCATCCACCACGCCCACATCCACCACATGGGCACAACATGGCACCTGAACATGCAGCCCAGTCTGTGGGCACAGCGCGTGGACATACAACACAACACATGGATGAATGACACACGACACACAGATGCCATACATAAACCCACAACAAATGAACACGACATTAGACACATAATTCAACCCATGGACGTAGCATACAGACACACAGATCAACACATGAACAACACAAACACACCCGACCTGGGTGCACAGAGAACGCAATAAGTGTCTGGACACACAGTCCAACACCTGGATACCCAACACGCAGACACACAAACACAGTTCCTAGACACACAATAAAACGCATGCACACACATGTGAGCACACAACTCAACAGCTGGATACTCAACTAAGACACACAGAAACACAGACACCCAAATACAATAGAAGGAGATGCAACACACAGACACACAAACAGCACAGGAATGAAATACACAGAGCCACAACACAACACTCCAGCACAGATAGCACAGAAAAGTTTAGCACATTCAGATGCTCAACGCATTCCCGCACACGCCTGGGAACAACACAACCGAGAAGCATACAGGGCACAGGGAGGAGCACCCACACCCCAAAAAGACAGCCCACAAACAGCGCGCCTACTACGGTTCCCGCCGCACAATCCACGCTGCGCTGGCGGGACACCACAGCCCCAGACGCCTGACCCGTGCAAGCCCAGGGCCAGACCCCAAACTCACAGGACACAGGTCACATGCAGAGACAAAAGCCAGGAGCGTCACACACACCTCTGCTCCGGCCTTCGCGAGCACACTCCAGCCCCGCCCCTCCTGGCTGAGACACCCCTCTCCCCAGCCAGTTCCTTGCCGGGGTCTTGTGGTACGGCGGCCCCCACCTTGCCGATCAGCTTCCCGCGCCGGTATACACGCCCCGAGCCGGGGTCGCGCAGGAAGGCGGGCTCCATCTGTGCTGAGGACAGTGGCGCAGCCGGCGGTCCCCGCTGCGCCGCGCTCTGAGCCCACGAGCAGCCCCGGCACGTCTATTGGTGGGGGAGGGGAAGGGGGAGGGGAAGGGGCGGGACGGGGCGGAGCCCTGACGCCCCAGGGCAGGTGCAGCGGCAGCACTGTGCCGCTGGGGCTGGGGAAGTACAGCGACCAGAGCTTCGCGGGTCCCCGCGCCAAAGCAGCGCCAGGAGCCGCGCTCAATCCATTTGTTCTTCCAGCAAGCTAGGAACTGATACTGCGCCCATTTCGCTAAGCGGGAAACTGAGGCTCCGGGCTAATCTAGTTCTCTCGAGGAGGCCTCTCCGGGACGGGGGCTGCAAGGTGGCTGTTTCTCAGGTCTTTCCCCAAAGTATGCTTGAGACTTGAGACTGGTGTTCACGGGGTACCACAGAGCGGGGGTGTCATATATGATGAAGACTCAGCATCAGAAGGCTGTGGAGCTGGTGTCTGTGACTCCTGGTAGAGGTGCCAAGTGGGTATGTCCCTGAGGTGGTGACTTGGGAGCTGTAGGTGAATGAAGAGAGAGTGGGTGGCCTTGGACCGTCCGGGAACCAAGGGGATTTCTCTGAGCACCAGACTTGACTCAACTCTCTTCCCATGTGCTGTCATTTCACTGTCCACATGGATCTGGGATCCAGGGCCATCCCCATGTGAGCACATGGAGGACCAGGGAGGACATGTCATTTGCCAGGCCAGAAAGGGACAGCTTTCTCTGGGAGCCACAGTACTAATCCCCAAAAGTTGCATAACACAATGAATGGGGAGGGTTAGCGGGGCTCGGTGTGGCTGGAATCAGGCTTTTGAAATCTGGCCTGGTCATACCACAGGGGACAGGAAACATCTACTGAATGGACACCTGTGTATCAAATGTTGTGTTATCCAGGTGTAGATGACCCCCAGGACCCAGCGTGTCTTATGGAACAAGGTTGGGCACCTTTGTTGGGATCTGGTCTCAGGGCCCAGGCTGAGGATTCCAGCCAGCTGGCTTGGGCCTGGGAGCCCATGTCCGCTGCTAAGGAGAAGCAGGTGCAGCAAAAAAGGTGGACCTGAACCACCTTGTCACTGGCACACTAGAATCCTTGGGGACAGAAAGCCAGTTTTTCTCCATAGTGCACCTGCATCCAAGTGTTAAATCTAGAATTTGCTTTAACCTATTGTGTGCCCACCTTTTCAGGGCTCTGTGGGCCTGAGACAGACCCAGTCCAGCCCTTGTAAAATGTCAAAGGCCTTAAAGTACTGCAAGAGGGGTTGGGCACAGTGACTCGTGCCTGCAATCCCAGCTATGTGTGGGAGGCAGAGTTCAGGAGGATCATGGTTTGAGGCCAGTATCAAAAAGTTAGTAAGACCCCATCTCAACCAACAAGGGGGTATGGTGGCACACACCTGTCATTCCAGCTACACAGAAAGTATAGGTAGAAAGACTGAGGTACAAGCTGGTCTCCAGCAAAAACTTGAGACCCTGTCCTTAAAATAACTAAAGCAAAAAGGGCTAGCAGAGCGCCTGCCTGGCAAAAGACTTTATTTGGACTCCAGGCAGGGCTGGCCACTTGCAATCTGGTTTGGGCTTGCAGGAGCCCCTACAATATGGCCCCCAGGCTTCTGTCCCAGGGACTGGTGCAGGCAGAACCTTTGTACCAGGATGGGCTGCCAAGTCCATGGAACACCAGAAGCTTCCTGGGGGCATAGAAATGGGAGTTTCTGGCCCGGATCCCTGCAGCCAGCCTGTCACCTGATGTCTGTGGCATAGAGACCAGCTTTCTCCCTCTCTCCTGGCCGCTTGCTGGGTTTCTCTGGCTGAGGTCCATCTCAGGGCTGAGGATGACTCTCTAAGCAGGAGCCCTGCCCTGGCCCCTACCCACCCCAGCCTGGCCTGGGGATGAATTCCCCTAATACCACGATTGGCTCTCCCTGAAGGCCTCTGGAAGACATTAAGGGGGGGTTGAGAAGCTGGGCACCAATGGCTCACGCCTGTAATCCTACCTACTCAGGAGGCAGAGATCAGGAAGATTGCAGTTCAAAGCCAGTCCAGGCTAATAGTTTGAGAGAGACCCTATCTCAAAAATATCCATCACAAAAAAAGTGGGGGGAGGGCAGTGGAGTGGCTCAAGGTATAAGCCCTGAGTTCAAACCCCAGTACCATGAAAAAGAAAGGATGATGAAAATGTCTTAGAATTAAATAGAAGAGGTGTCACACCAGGTGTGTGCACTAAATAGCCACTGAGCCATGCACTTGGAAGGGGTGAATGTCATCAGACCTGAATTTCACCCCCATTAAATGAAAAAGGGAAGTGGAGGGGAGCAGTTTGGATCCAGAGTCGGGGAGAGTGTTTTGGAGAGATGAGTAGACAGAGGGACTCTAGAAATGCGGGGTGTGCCACAAGCACCATGGGGAACTTAAGTTTGAGACCCTAAGAGGGGAAACAGATTTGCAGCTTCATTTTTTGAAATCCACACTCAAGAATAAAATTAACTTTGTAATAAAATGACAAACACAAATATTCACAGCAGCATGATTCATAGTAGCCAAAAGGTAGACCCAATTCAAGCATCTACAAGTGGACAAATGGACACACAGCCTGATGGAGGAAGAAGACTGTGTGACACACATGACATAGACGAACTTTGAGGGCAAGATGCTCAGTGATGTAAGCCAGACCCAAGGACACACACTGAGGACTCCACTCACAGGAGGTCCCTAGTGTCCCTCAGAGCCACAGAGACAGGAAGTAGAAGGATGGGTGCTAGGGGCTGGGGAGGGATGGGAGTTAGTGTTGAGTGGACAGACCTTCAGTTTTGGGGGATGGAAAGTTCTGGAGATGGATGGTGGGGACAGTCACACAGCCATGTGAGTATGCTCAATGCTGCTACACTGTGCACTTCAGCATGGTTAAGATTTTATGTTAGACACATTTGCTAAATAAAAAAATGAAAAATATTCCACCCCCTCCAAGAAACAAACCTGGGCACTTCCTAATACCCTCACTCTACAGAGAGGGAAACTGATACACACTGTGTGCTGACACAGGATGGCTGTTTTGTAAAGGGCTGGGGCAGTCCAAGGGGCTGCCTGACCCTCTCAGTCCCACCACTGGCCCTGGGGTGGAGGAGTTTGGGCTGGATCCCCCTCCTGGCTGCCCAGCCTGCCCATCTCCATCTCCAGGCCTTGGGCCCCAGTTTCCTTCCAGTCTCTGTTCTTTTGCTGACCTGAGATAACTTTTTGGACTCAGCAGATTTATTGGGAGAAGCATGGAAAGCTTTACTCAAAATGCCTGCTGCAGGTGGAGGAGCGGCTGCTGACCAAGCTATGCAATTCCCCAGAGACCTTGGAGGTGCACTGGGCTGCTGTGATCCAGGCCTCCCACTCTGCCACCTGGAAGGTTCCAGGGTGGGAGCATCAGCCATGTGACTCAGGGCCAACTCTCCGTCCTACTCTGGGCACCCGTGGAGTCCACGTGCCTGGACTCGTGAGACCTCAGCTGGCCATGAAGGTCCCTGGGGACCTGCAGCCCAGGACCACAGGAGGCAGGAGGGCCCTACCTCCACCCCCAGGGATCCAGAAACACAGATGGGGTTCAGGCTGCAGCCACATGGTCCAGTGTGGGAGCAGGAAGGGACATCAGGACCTATCCCTAGGACCAAACCTGGCCCTTTCTTTTCTTAGTTTCTCAGTGCCATTTGCTATTGGGTTCTTTTAGAAACATCATCTCCTGAAATATCACCTCTGTTTTCACATCGTTTTTCTAGCTGAATCATCTCAGTCCTCCTCTGAAGCCTCCTTTACCCTCTTCTGGGACCCTGGGACCCCATTTCTTCACTTTTTCCTACCTACATTGTCCACGTGGCTTTAGCACTGACAGGGATACATGTGACTTCATTTCTGCAGGGGAGGGCTGAAGGAAGCTGCCTGTGCACCTCCCAGGTCTCTGAGATACCCAAAGGCAGAGCTTGAAGCAAGGATTTAGTGCAGAGTGGGTTTTGAGAACATGGTAGAAGCTGGTTACCACTGTTGGCCACTGAGGTCCAAACCCATGGGGTGCCCTCTGAGAACTGAGAATTTTCCTTAGAACTGACCATCCGAGACAAGGACAGAAAGAAAAGTGCCCTTCCTCTGCTACCTACCTCTGTTGGTGAGGGCTTTCCACATGGGATGGTAATTGTCTTGTGTGCCCAGATAAGCTTGACCAAGAAGCTCTCTCAGGTGGCCCATGCTGCAACATCCTAAAGAGGTGAATGGAGTGTGGCCCCAATGTCCTCCCACCCACCTCTTCACTTTCCATCTGATCACTCCAGCCTCCCTATTGATCCTTGTCCAACCTCAGGGTCTTTGCATATTCTGTTCCAGCTTCCCAAAGCATTCCTCGCCCCTGAGTCTTCACCTGGTGCCCCTTGTCATATTTTGGGCCACTTTGTCCAGAAGGCCACCCCATGATTCTCCAGCCCTGATTCATGTCTGTTTAAGGTCTTGTTCCATCACAACCTGAAAATTCACTCTTTTTTTGCTGGTTTTCTGTCCCACCAGACTGGGAACTCCACTAGCAAGTTCTGATTCCAATCTAGTCCCTGCTGTGTCTCCAGAAGGTTCTGACCTTCTGGGTGGCCTCCCTGAACTTCCCAGGTCCCCCTGGCAGGGTAGGCATCTTTGGTGCCAATGCCCTTGGCGTTAGTTACCTCCAGCAGGTTCCACTCTGGCAGTGGATGCCCCCCGCCACTGGATCGACCTCCCTCCAGGGACATTGATCACCTCCAGCTGCATCAAGGGGCTGGTGCCCCTTGATGTGTGGGCATCAGCACAAGCCAAATTTCCACAGGAATGGTCTGTTTTCTTCTGTGTGGGTCTTTTTACCAATTACAAAAGAGCTCAATATCATAAGGGATCCTGGGACAAAGGACATTAGTTTAAAAAAAAAAGGCTGATGAAATCTAAACAAAATTTGGAGTTTAGTCAACAGTAATGAAACTAATAGTCTGCACCTCTTAAAAAAATTTAAAGTGCATAAAATCTTGTGTTAATTATAGGCACAATGTTAAGTACAGAGGCAGGAAAGTGCTCCATCTGTCCTTGCCCTGCCTCAGAAAGGAGGTCACCATTGGATCTCAGAGTGGGGGACCTGTCTAACCCCTGGACTAGGGGCCAGGCAATAACAGGGTGGGGCTGGCAAGCAGCTACTTCCACCCTGGAACTCTGGGAGCCTCTGAGCCCAGCAGTCCCTCACCAGTGCCAGGTGTTACCTCAAGCCATCTCAGGGAATGTGCAGTGTGTGTCCTGCTGCTGGGATGGAGGTGGGGGACAGGGTTGAGGGAGGCAGGACTTCGGGCTGAGGGGTCTAGGATCCCACCTCCTTCCCCTCCAGTCTGCTGACCTCACAAGCAAGATTCTCCCCAGCAGTGTCTAGTGTTTGCACTCCATGCAGGGCCAGAATGCAGCATGTACTTTCTACAGGACTCATTACCTGCTGTATGCATTCCCTGCAGAGTGTAGTGCTTGCTGTTTACTTTCCTTGTAGGCCACAGAATCCGATGTACACATTCTTCACGGTGCAGTGACTGTTGTCTGCGCTCCCTGGAAAGTACTGTTTACTGTATACACTCCCTGCCTGGCAGTCTGCTGTATGCATTTCTACAGGACACAGTGCCTGTTGTATGCCTTCCCTTCAGGGCAAGTGCTTGCTGTACATATTCCTGCAGAAAGAGCATGATGCCAGCTGTATATCCTGCATGCAGGACACAGTGCCTGCTGTATGCAGCTCCTGCAGAGCACAATGCCTGCCATCTATGCTCTTTACACAATTCTTTCCTTCCTTCCTTCTGCAGTACTGGGGCTTGAACTCAAAGCTTACACTATAAACCACTCCACCAGTCTTTTCTTGTGATTTTTTTTTTTTGCGAGATAGGGTCTTGGGAACTATTTGCCTGGGCTGGCTTTGAATCGTGATCCTCTTGATCTCTGCTCCTGAGTAGCTAGGATCACAGGGAGGAGCCACCAACTCCTGGCTAGATGTTGTGCTTTCTGTATGCCTTCCCTGCAGGGCACAGTGTCCTCTGGGAACAGGGCACATCTGAGGGGGTTACTATTGCCACTCAACAGAGCCACTGAGTCTCACTGATTTCTAATGCCTCCCCAGGGTCCAGTCCTGTATAGTTCCCACTCTTGCTGTCCCAGTTTCTCTTCTCCTGTCGCTCTCCACTGTCAGTCAGGTTTAACTCCCCCCACCACCTCCCTGCTTCTCAAGGTTGCCATTTCACCATTGCATCTGTCATTGATGGTCCACTTCTCACTGATCTGGCAGTGGCAATTTACCACTGTCTGCCCCTCCTCTCTCAGAAGTTCAGTCCTCCCCTCCCCTGGGACTTAGGCTGGCCTCATTCTTCTCCCCAACTCAGGCCCCCAGACCTCATCCAGGACCATGGTCCCCCATATGCTATGACACCCATGTAACTGGCTATGGCTGACAGGCTTCTCCCACGAAGCTCAGCCAAGCTCTTCCTTCTTCCATGGGGGTGGAGGGGGTTGGGGAACTAACAGTAACTTCTGGGATTCTCCCTCTAAATAGGGGCGGAAGTCACCCACTGTGCCTCACCTCCACCCACACCCATCCAACCCCAGTCCTCAGGACACTCTGCTCTGCTTCCCCACCCCCATTTCAGACAGAGAGCTGCCTCCTGGCTTCAACGCAGCCTCCCCTCCCCACCTTGATGGGATCTCATCCTGCCCAGTTCCCCTGCTCCAGCAGCTAGACCTCCACACTGTCCTTAATACCATATACTAGGCCACCCTTCCCTCCGACCTCTTTGTGGCTGTCACCTTCTCAGTGAGAGCCTTCCTGACCATTACTCCTCCTGCGATGGTCCTGAGCTATTTCCTTCTGTTCCGAGAAGAACAGAAGCTGGGATTACACACTCCCCTCCCAGGGGCACCTCTCCCATCTGCCACTGGCTAGGTTGTCCACAGAGGGGTGGCACACAGTGGTGCTCAGTAAATGTCATTGGGTGGCCCTGCTCTGAGCCACTTCTTGCTGGAGGAGACAGAACTGAAGAGCCACCCGGGCAAACTCCTTCTCTGTGGTTAGGACTAGAAGCCTCAAGGTAGGCTTCCTGGAGGAGGGTGCATTCAGGTTGAACCTAGGCCAAACCCAGGGGGCAGAGGAACACTCACCCAATGATTCTCAATGGCCCAAGCCCTTCAGCCTGACTACTAGGGAGCTGCAGTGGGGCAATGGTGAAAAGTCAGTGGAGTTAGTGGGAGCCCCACGCACCTGCCTCAACCCTATGCAGATTTGCCCAGCACAGTCAGGTGCTGGGAATCCTGTGGTATGCCGGTGGTGGAAGATCCCAGCAAAAAGCTAAGATCCAGCTGGAAGGTCCGCGGTGGAGACCCTTGCAGGTTCCATTGCTGAGATGGGGAAACTGAGGCCAGAGTGGGTGAGGCCAGGCTGCGAGGCGACGAAACTTCTGGACCGGGTCTGGCTTGGAAGCCACAGCTGGCAGCTGGGGTGGGGGGTGGGCAGGGAGGAGGGTGGGGCGCGTCCGGGTGACAGCAGCGCCCGGGAATGCGCGGGCTGGGAGGGTCTCTCAGTCCCCCACGCCCGGCCCTGGGGCGAGCTTCTCTCCAATGCGCAGGGGCCCTGGTTGGGGGTGGCTCGGACCTGGGGCGGGGAATCCCAGGATCGGAAGTAGACAGACGTGCAGGGGTCTCCATCCCTGAGCAGGGTGATTGTGACGAAAAGGACTGGGGAAGATCCCTGCGGGGACGCAATCTACACTTCAGCGGGGAAGAGGGCAGCGCCGGGACTCCCAGACCCAGGGCCGGTCGACCTCACTTCGTGCGCATTCCCGGGCCCTGAGCGCCTCGCCCGGAATAGCAGCCCGTGAGGAGTTGGGGGGGGTCAGTCCCCGCGCTGCCCGTCCGCTGGGTTTCCCAAGGTCACTGGCACCCAGACTCCGGGACACCAGGCCTGGGCTCTGCTGCGCCAGGCTCCTGCCGGGCAGTCAATCCTCCACCGCAGATCCGCGCCCAGTGTGCGCCGGCCGCGTGGGGGCGCACCGGGCAGCCGCCTTCCAGACCCCGGCCAGGGCGCGCCCGGGAGGCCTTGGTGGGAGGGGCCGTCAGAGCTCCCCAACTCGCACCACGGGCCCCGCCGCTTCCGCCGGCTCTGGGGCCGCCTGGAGAGCCTGGACGCGCCGCTTGGACTCTACACAACCGGTAAGTCCTTCTTCCTATCCTGCCACTATCCCAGCCCAGAGACTTCGCAGTGTGATCTGCACCTTTCCCTCTCCGTCCTCATCGGGCTGGAGGTTAATGAGGGCAGCAATCCCCAGGGTGGGAGTGAGCTCGGTAGTCCTACTTCCTCTGGGAGAAACAGAGACCAAGAGGTCTTACTTGCCCTGAGATCACTATGCCCGTCAGGGGTATAGCCAGAACAGTAGGTGGAGGGGGGGTCTTGTTCTTTTGGCATTAGGGGACTGTAAAGGGTGATCTTTCTAGCCGCCCACGTTCCATCACCCAACCTCCTACCCCAGCGCTGGATTCAGTGGAGGCTCGTTGGAAGATCAAGCCTCCTCCCCTAGTGAGTGTCCTCCAGACTTCTTCCTGCTTCCTGGACCAGCCCAGCTCTGGGTTCAGAGAGAGGCAGAGATGCAGCTGGCCACACAGCTGTGGTTAGAGGGGGTGGACTAGCCCCAAGTCCCCCATGTTCTCAGCATCTAGAGCCACCTTGGGCCCCAGAGGGAGGAATGTCAGGGCCAGACCGGCTGAGAACTAGGGACATTGAAGCTTCTGTTCGGCCAGGTGAGCCCAGTCTTCCCCCTCCTAGTGCTGGGGAACTGTGTGCTGCCTTTGAGCTTGTCCCCCTGCCCTATAGGCTCTGGCTGGCAAACACTTGGCCCCAGCCCCAGAAATGGCTCACAGGTCCCCACTTCTCTTCCCACCCTCCCCTTTCTTCCACCAGGCCATGATTACTACAAGGTGTGGGCAGCAAGTGACTTCAATCCCTCCCCTGGGATGGAGAAACTGAGGCCCCAGCTGCCTCCCTTCTCTAGGTCAAATCCTGTGCCTTTCCTCCACAGACAGCCTGGTGCTCCATCCCACACCCTCTGATGAGGCCATGAGGCACAGACTGGAACAGGGCCAGGTCACCCCTCCCTGCATGCCCTGATTGGGGGACTCACTGTGGTGGCTGGGGTCGGGGAGGGAGTCCTGGAGGCTAGGGTGAGCTCAGGGACTGAGCTCCTTACTCAGTCCCCACTGGCTGCAGTCTTTGCAGGGTCTCAAAGAATCATGGACTGAGTCCAGCTGGTCCCCAGTGCACAGATGGAGGAATTAAGGCCGGGGGAAGCAGAGAGGCTGGTCTTTGGCCACACAGGAAGGTAGGAGAGATGATGCTGATAGGGAGAATGGTGAGGGAGCCCCACCCTAGCAACTACCTGTGCACTATCCTTATATGATTCCTTCAGTCATCAAATGCAGGTTAAGGGGGGAGGGTGAATGAAGGAGATTAAGGCGAGGGTATATGATGGACTTCATACACTTATATGAAATAGAACAGAGAAACCTCTTGCAAATGCTCTAAATAGGGTGGGGAGTGGGTAGAGGGGGAAGAGACAGTGGGGATGATCTAACCAATGTACATTATAAGCCTATTTGGAATCATCACAGTGAATCCCCCATACAACGATTGTATCCTAATTTAAAAAAAAAATGTCTGAAATCCTAACTATTCAGGAGGCAGACATCGGGAGGATCATGGTTTGAAGCCAGCCAGGGGAAGTAATTCGTGAGACCCTGTCTCAAAAAAAACCCATCACAAAAAAAGGGCTGGTACAGTAGCTCAAGGTGTAGGCTATGAGTTCAAACCCCGGTACCAAAATAAATACATAAATAAAAAGCTCGTTAAGCACCTACCAGTAATAGCAGAAAAACGTGTGGTGGGACTGGGGTTTGAACTCAGGGCTTTACATTTTCAAAGCAGGTGCTCTACCGCTTGAGCCACACCCCCAATTCCCTTCCCCACATTTGTACTCTGCCGAATCCAATCAACTCTTCAGAACTTTCCGACAAGGAGGACTCTATTTTCGCCTCATTTCTTTTTAGAGACGTCAAAGAGGCTCAGAGAGGTTTAGTTACTGTTCAAGATCACACAGCTGGCCAGAGCAGAAATGGGGTTCAGCCCGCGTTCTGCTGGCCAGCTGCATAGTTCCCTTTTACTCCCCCAGGTCCCCCCTCTTCCAGAACCTTCTGCTCTTGCTGTGGACCCTCCTGAGCTGTGGTTTGGGCGTCACTGCTCAGGTAAGGGGCGTCAGGAGCGCAGGAGTAGATGGGAACAGGGACTCGGGAAGCAGTGTGGGTTCCCCAGCTTTCCTCCAGGCTGATCCGCCTCTCTCTCCCCAAGTAGGGGCCGGGGGAGTGGACGCCGTGGGGGTCCTGGACCCGCTGTTCCAGCTCCTGCGGACGGGGCGTCTCTGTGCGCAGCCGGCACTGTATCCGGTGAGCAGAGGCATGGGCACAGGGGTCCCTGCCCCTTCTTTTCTAGCCACGCCCGCAGCCTGCCCACGCACGCTGTGCCCTTTAATCCCACTGATCCAGCTGGAATGCGGGTGGGGCTGGTGGAGGCAGATGGTGGACTGGCCGACCTGGGAGGGGGTCCCTAGGGGTTCTGACCACACTCAGACCACCGTGCTCCCCGCAGGTTTCCGGGGGAAGAACTGTGCTGGGGGGACAGCCATGAGTACCGCCTGTGCCAGCTGCCGGTAAACTCTGCTCACATTCCATAGTCTGTACTGAAGTCCTCTTGCTTCCCATTTGTACTTTCTGGGCTCCCCAGGGCTGACCCAAATATCTCTTCACCCAGGACTGTCCTCCAGAGGCCATGCCCTTCCGAGACCTACAGTGTGCTCTCTACAATGGCCGCCCTGTCCTGGGCACCCAGAAGACCTACCAATGGGTGCCTTTCCACGGGGGTAAGGAACTTGGCCCTTCTGTGGTCAGGGCTAATCTATAAGAGGAACTTGGAGGGTTGCACAGAGAAAAGGACGTTAGCATTGGGGCTTTGAAGTATATGTAGAAGTTGGTGGAGTGACGCATGAAGCAGTAGCAGAGGGAAGCAGGGTCCATTCTGCACAGGGTCAAACACCAGGTTGAGAATTTACTTAGTGCTGTATCCAGAAGCCAACAATTCTCAGACTTATCCCAGTAACAGGAAATGTTGCAGCATTGAGCTGAAAATAGCGAGTTATATAACTGGGTGCCCGGGGCAGCACGCCTCCAGATTTAAGGAAGACAGTCAGCTTCAGAAGCCATGGTGGAAGCACGCAGATAAGAAAAGCCTAGAATGGAGAAAGTGCCATACGTCAGCCACGGGTTGGCTTTCTTCTTTCTTTTTGCCCTTGAGAATAGGAGGAACCCTGCCATGTTTCCACCCCCCCCCCCACAGAGGCCAGCTAGTGCCAGCTCGGCACTAGCTCCAGGGAGGGTCTGCCAGCAGCCTCAGCGGAGTGGGAGACAGACAGACCTTGGGCAGGGATCAGGGCTGTGCCCCTGTGGGTGTGATCGGTCAGCTACCAGGTAGAAGGGGCAACCGAGGCCCCGGAAGGGTCAAAGACATACCCAGATTACGTGGTAGTCAGTACCCGACAAACATTTTTAATTGGGCCTGGGTGGGAGGGGCGGAGACAAATAAAAAGGGCTGGGACCCGGGGCGGGGCCTGAGAGTAAAAGGAGGTGGGACCTGGGCGGGGAGGGAGATCGAGCCGGGACCTGAATAGGAAGAGCCCGCTTTGGGTGCTCGACCCAAGTACTGAGTGAATTATGCCTGGTGCTGTACCCCAGAGCTCACAACAGTGTCTAGAAATTAGTAGGTGCTCAGTGAGGGTCTGTGGAATGACGAAAGAAGAACGGCAAGGATGTTAATGGATAGCATGTACGGCCTCTTAATGTAAAGACTGGATGTGATGAACGAATTTAGCCCCAGAGGACTTGCCTGGGACAGGCTCAGGTTGCTGGAGGCAGAGAACCTGGGTTCCAGTCCTGGCTGTGCCTCAGCCTCGAGGTGTGGCTTTGGCTGAATCTCTGGGCTTCATCTGTCCAAGGGGACATGATGGGACCTGGGGTGGAAAGTTCCCGGCCCACCCGCTTCTCTCGTCCGCAGCGCCCAACCAGTGCGACCTCAACTGCCTGGCCGAGGGGCACGCTTTCTACCACAGCTTCGGCCGCGTCCTGGACGGTACCCCCTGCAGCCCCGGTGCCCAGGGCCTGTGTGTGGCTGGCCGCTGCCTTGTAAGGATTCCTCAGGCCCGGGGCGCCCACCCCCAGGCCCCGCCTTTTACGTTCAGGCTCCGCCCCCAGGCCCCTCCATTTCCCGTCAAGTCCCGCCCTCCTCTCCCTCCATATCCCTCCCTTCTCTAGGCTCCACCCTCCCTCAAAACGGGCCCTTTTACTCTTAGGCCCCACCCTCCCTTCCAAGCCCCTGTGACTCCCGGCGTGTCCCCCTCTCTGCAGAAGGCCGGCTGTGATGGGGTGCTGGGCTCGGGCGTCCTCGAGGATCGCTGCGGCCTCTGCGGCGGCGCTAACGACTCGTGCCTCTTCGTGCAGCGCGTGTTCCGCGACGCTGGTGACCGCACTCCTCGTTCTCCTTTGCATGCACAGCGGGAACTGCCCCTTTAACAAAGCCACGGGCCGGAAGCAGAGGCCCGTGCTGATTGGGCAGCCTGAGGTCCAGCCCCCCTGGACCCTCATCCTGATTGGATACTGTTAGATTGTCCCACCCTCCCCAAAATAGATGGGGTTCCTCTAACGCAGTTCAGCGATAGTTGTTACTCCCTAGCTAGCTGTCTGCGCGCAGTATCTCATTTAATCCCCTAGTCGCCACTCAAATGCACCTACACCGGCACCCCAACAGCACTCCTGTTCTCCCGTCTAGGTGCCTTCGCCGGCTACTGGAACGTGACCCTGATCCCTGTGGGCGCCAGACACATCCGTGTAGCCCAGCGGAGCCGCAACCACCTGGGTACCATAGAGTCTGAAGGGGAAGGCATGCTGCTGGGCGCCCGGGGCGGTTGTTGTCCCTGGTTACAGCTAGGGAGACTGAGACCAGAAGTGGGGACCCAGGGGTTCGGGAGACGGGGTGGGCTTGTTCCTGGGAAACCCGCGCTGACTCTTCCCTTGCAGCGTTGATGGGGGGCGATGGGCGCTACGTGCTCAACGGGAACTGGGCGGTCAGCCCGCCCGGCACCTACGAGGCTGCAGGCACCCACGTGGTCTACACCCGTGCTTCGGGGCCAGAGGAGACGCTGCAGGCAGCCGGGCCCACCTCTCAAGACCTGCTCCTGCAGGTGCGGGCAGGGCCTCAGAGAGGGTCAGAGGGCAGCAGCTTAGGACTGAGAGCCAGAAGGGCGGGTCTGGTGTTTAGAGAGAGGTCAGGGGCAGTGTAGGAATGCTGGTAAGAGGGAGGAGGTTGGGGTCAGTCAGATGAGGGAGGCAGGGGTCAGAGGGAAGAGGCTGGGCCATCACGCTGGCCATTCCCCATGCCAGGTCCTCCTGCAGGAGCCCAACCCTGGTGTGCAGTTTGAGTTCTGGCTTCCTCAGGAGCGCTACGGCCCCTTTCAGGCTCAGGCACAGGCCTTGGGCTGGCCCTTGCGTCAGCCTCAGCCCCGAGAAGTGGAACCTCAGTCCCCTGAGTCCCCTGCAGGCCCTGCACGGGTCCCAACCCTGGCCCCAGGTGAGGTGTGGACAGTTAGGGTGGGACAGGCAAGAGATGAGGCCTCTGCCCCTCACTGCACAATCCCCCATAGATCCCTGCCCACCCTGTCCTGACACCAGAGGTCGGGCCCACCGGCTACTTCACTATTGCGGCAGTGACTTCGGTGAGACCCTTGGCCCCCATCCTCACCTAGCCCCTGATTAACTGGACCTTTGATCCCTGCCCTGCTGACCTCTAACCCCTTCTTCTGACCCTAATTTAACTCCTTGATGGGACCACTAATTCTTCATTGATCCCTGACCCAGCCCTTGGCTGACCCCAGTTCCCAGGGTCCTCTGAGGCTGCACCTGATCCTGGCTTTCTCCTCTGGCCATGGCCCCTGCCCTGCCCACAGTGTTCCAGGCCCATGTGTTGGGCCGCCACCGTCAGGCCCAGGAGACGCGCTATGAGGTACGCATCCTGCTGATTTACAAGAACCGCTCGCCACTTCGGACTCGAGAGTACGTGTGGGCACCGGGCCACTGCCCCTGCCCACCACTGGCCCCCCATCAAGAGTATCTGCTGGCTGCCCAGCGCCTTGTCAGTCCTGATGGCACACGGGACCGACTGCTGCTGCCGCATGCTGGCTATGCCCGGCCCTGGAGCCCTGCTGAGGATAGCCGTGCACGGTTGGCTGCACAACGCTGTCCTGTCTGAGGCCCTGGCTGACACCTTCACCACACACTGCAAGAACAACACACCAGCCAGGCTGAAAATCAAACGTATTTCTCCTCTCACCTTGGCTCACTCAGGGAGCTCAGAAGTAACTCCCACCTGCAGCATGTCACATGTATTTGGTCACCTCTGCATGTAGGGAGATCCACTGCTGTGAGCAGACAGACCCTGGTGAGGACATGCTGAGGCTAACTGTAACTCTTATTTCCCTTCTCACATTGGCTGCAAGGAATGCTGCAGTTGTTTTACACTCTGAAATATGTCTACTTTAATTCCCCTTGCCTCACACTCACTTGCTTAGAGACACTGTCACAAACAAGCAGGTCCCAGAGGAAGACATGCCTAACCAAGACATTATAATGTACCCATTTCCTCTTTGCCTGGGTACCAGGAAACTCTTCACTGTTTAATTCCCTGACACTGTGTGCTGACTTTTCTCTCTGCCACTCCCCCTTCCTCCCAACACACACACACATGTATTCAGAGACACTGTCACAAACAGGCATATCCTAAAGGAGACATACCTATCCAGGCACTATAACCTACTGACTTTCTCCCTTTTGCCCTGGCTACCAGGAAGCCCAGACCGGATAATCTTGACCATCTCTGTGATTCTGGCTGGGTTTCCTTCAGTCAACAGACTTCTATCCACCCCTTTTTATTCCAATTTTAGTAATTTTTACAAGCACTTAGAAAAAAAGGGCACCCCAGTATACACATTCATGCACAGAGGCTGGGGGAAACCTGGTGGAATAACAGCCACAATCACACTCTTGCAGTGGCACACACACTCACATGCACCCTCAACCTCCTCTCCTCCTGCCCCAGCCCATGCTGTGTGGTGGCAAGAACCAGAAATATATGAGGGTAGAGGGCAGGTCCTGGGCTGTTCTCAATGCTAAATACTGCTCTCAGGCGTGAGGCCCTCCCCAGTTAAGGGGCCTGAGAAGGTGGGTTACATCCACTGTTCTGTGTAGCTCCCTGACCTTGTATGTTCTCACATCTTCTGGAACCAGGATGGAAGAGTGGGTTGTGTGCACTGCGAGTGCCTGTGTCATGTCAGTCACTGAGCAAGCCCTTCTCTGTGGGATGCCCCTCAGGCATGTCTCCTGTGCCTACTGCCCTTGTTGGAGTGGCCTATGCTATTTTGAGGACAATTTGCTCTTCATCAGTCCAGGTTGGGTTTGGCCCTGGTCCAGTGGCTTATCAGTTTGTGTGGTCAGCTCCCCCATGAGAGCCCTGACCACAGCACCCAGATGGGGTGAAAGTACCTCGCAGGTAACCTCAAACCTGGCCCTACCCCTCTGTGGGCCTGAGTTTCCCCATATGCGAATGAGTCCCCTCAAAGCCCCTCCTGCTCTGCCCAGGGGATTCACTTTCCTGGTGCCCTTGCCCCACCCCTGCATTCATTCCTCTATTCCTTTCATGAGTATTTATTGGGCACGTACCATATACCAGAGACCCATCAGTCCCTGGAATGGCCCAGGCCTGGTCCTGGGGAGAGTAGGAGGTCACTTTGTCACTGTGACCTATGATGGTCCTCCCTGACATGGGCTGAAGGAGAAGAGTCCAGGAGCCCCCAGGCCAAGACAAGGTACAGCCCTAGAGCAGGAGGGATGCATTGGGCCTGGGTGCCCCCTGGTGGCAGGACAAGGGATGAAGGGATTCTGTGACTGATGCTGCCTACAGCACCCAAAGGCCCTTGCTGGTTCCTGGTTAGTGAGCACAGCCCATGGACACTCCCTCCCCATTCACATCTCTCAGCTTCCAACCAGCACCAACACCCACGGCCACTCCCCAAGCCTGTCTGGATTGTTATTAACATCCAGCCCCCCTTGGGTCCCCTAGGCTGCCCCCTCTGCCCCGCTGTGTTTTGAGGTAAGTCAGGGATTGATTTCCAGACTCCTCAGCCACAGAGCAAGTGGTGCTACCTGGGACCCTGGTTCACAGATGGTCATGCCGGTATCAGTTGAACAGAACCTTTCAGGACAGACTTCTGCCCAGGATGTGACTTGGACAGCAGCCTAGGGTTCATGCTGTTACTGACCCCAGGCTGTGCCCTGATGCCTGTGACATGGGACAAGGCAGAGAAGCCTAAATAAGTACAGAGACAGCTGGCTGTTCCCAAGGCCAGGAACCCTTCTGTCCCATGAGCAAGATGTCCCAGGCTCTGTGAGCAGTGTCCTCCCTGACTTCATTTTGGAACCACACAGCTGGGTGGTGAGCCACTATGGTCACATGAATATCAGCAATAAACTTTGTTCTGATCTGCTCTTTAGCTGCAGAACAAACAACTGAATAAAGAGGGAAAACATTTTAATATGGAAGATGCTGAAATGCAGCAAAATGGGTCACACAGGAACAGACATCCTCACTGACCTAGCAAGAATGGGACCTCTGTGCCACTGGTTATATTGTAAACAGCAATAAAAACCACTGACCAGCCTGGGGGGCGGCGGGGTCCCATGTCTTCTTTGCAGCTCTGCCTCTCCTGTTCATCTGGAATTGGCTCCAGATAGGCACGGCGGTGGTCATTGGGGCTGGAGGCTCAGACATTGCCTAGTGTGACCACAAAACAGTGGGAAGCACATGGGGACCTCTTCAAAGAAGTGTGCCCAGAGCTGGGAGTTCATGGCATTGGTTCCAGGTAGGAGGCAATGTTTACAAAAGCACAAATAACAGCTGGGTGCTAGTGGCTCAAGCCTGTAACCCTAACTACCCAGGAGGCAGAGATCAGAAGGATCGCAGTTGGAAGCCAGCCCGGGGAAATAGTTTACAAGACCCTATCTTGAAAAAAAAAAGCCTTCACAAAACAGTTCAAGCTCTAGTATGCAAAATAAGATAAAATAACAACTGGGATTGGTGGCAATACCTGTACTAGCCCTTAGGAAACTGAGGCAGGAGGATCTGAGGCTAGTCTGGGCCACAAGGTGAAACTGTCTTATAAAAATCAAAAAACTACAATAACAAGAGATAAGGAGTATTGCAAATTTGAGACCTATCTGTGTGAGTAAAACGAAAGGCACCATAGCAATTGCTCCATTAGTCCAAGTAAAAACTAATGTCCTGGGCCTGACACTGTGGCTCATGCCTGCCATCTCAGTTACAGGAGGCAGAAATGGAAAGGATTGCTATTTGAGGCCAGCCCAGGCAAAAAGTTAACAAGATCTCCATCTCAACCAATTAGCTGGGCATGGCAGTGCATGCCTGTGATCTACACAGGAGACATAGGTAGGAGGATTGAGGTCTAGGCCAGCTCAGGCAAAAACTCAAGACCCACCTGGATGCTGGTGGCTCCTTGGGAGGTTGAGCTAGAGAGGCTCTTGTTCAAGGCCAGCCAGGAAACAGTTGTTGAGATCTCCATTTCCAAAATAACCAGAGCAAAATAGACTGGAAGGATGGCTTAAGTGGTAGAGCACCTACTTTGCAAGTGCAAGGCCCTGAGTTCAAACTGCAGGCCCAACAAAGACAAAAAAAGTTAAAAGAAGAAAAGACCAAACAAAAACAACAAAATGCGATGGTACTGCCTAGCAAGTGCAAGTCCCAGTGGATGGGGGGTGGAGAGAGAGAGAGAGAAGTCACATGAAATTGGCAGAGACTGGGCCAATGCAAGCCCAGGGCCACCTGGCAGAGGCAGAGACAGGAAGGTCCTCCCTGGAGCCTGGGAAGGAGCATGGCCCTGTGACCTGGGTCTCTGACCCAAGCCTCTAGGACTTCAGGACGCTCAATTTCTGTTGCTTGGAGCCACCCTATATATGATCATTTGTGGCTGTAGGATACTCAAGCACCTTCATCAGCCCCTCCAATCCCTGTTGGGTATGTGCCCAAGGGTAAAGCAACCTTTGCCCACCAAAGGCCACTTCTGGAATGTTCCCAGAGTCTTAGCCACTCCAGCAAAAAGGTATATGTAACTCAGATGCCAACCAGCACTGTGATGGGCTGAATAAGCCTCATTATTCCACCACCATTGAGCACTAGGGCTTGAAAGTTTGCATAGCACTGAGGCCAGTCTCATGGATGTGACCTGAGTATCCCCTCCTCAGAGGGGACAGAACCTGAGTGAAGTTCGAGAAGGAAGTTGGAATTGATCAGTGGACAACTTTCATCAAAATGGGGTTAACTTGGGGGGCGAGCATCACCAGATGGAGCTGGTCATGGCGGGTGTGCCATGAGCCGAGAGCTCTGCACACTTCCCTATATGTTTAAATTTAAATGTGAATGGCTACATGTCCCAATTTCTACCTGATCTTTGCTGCCCACACTGATGGCAAGAGTGAGGGGTGCAGAACGAGCCTGGCTCCTCCATTGCCTTCCCATGCTGTGGCCAGACCACTTGGGCCAGTTGGGCCAGTGACCAGCAGATCCAAGATTCCTGCCTTATGTGGACAGGGACTGCAGGAGGGAGGGTTAATTAATTACCTTTGATTCCTCCCTGTTGACAAATCTGACCTCCTGAGTAAAAGCCAAAGTCTTCCCCAGGGCTCCCTTCTCCCTCTGTTCTCTCACTACCTCTCCAGCCACACCTCATTTGCTTTTCCAACACTCCAGCATCTGCCCTGCCCCAGGGCCTTTGCACGTGTGGTTTTCTTTTTCCTTTCTTTTTTTTTTTTTTTTGTCTTTTCTTTTTTGGTGCTGGGATCGAACCCAGGGCCTCACGCATGCTAGGCAAGCGCTGTACCACCGAGCTACATCCCAGCCCTCTTTTTCCTTTCTTTTGGTAACACTGAGGCTTGAGTTCAGGGCTTCACACTTGCCAGGCAGGCACTCTTACAACTTGAGCCACTTTGCCAGCCCTTCTTTGTGATGGGTTTTTTTCAAGATAGGTTCTCACAAACTACTTGCCCAGGGCTGGCTTTGAACCTTGATCTTCCTGACCTCTGCCTCCTGAGTAGCTAGGATTACAGGCATGAGCCACTGGCGCCCAGCTCTACACCAGAAATTGTGAGCAACCAGAAGCTTGGAGCAGCAGAGCTCAGGTGGAACCAGCTACATGGGGGAAGCTGGTGGATCCAAGGGACAGATGTAACAGACATTGTCCCGTGGACCTGTGGACACCTCACCCCAAGCTACTCCCTGCTTGATAGATTTGTCTTTGGATGACCTAGCTCCAGAGATTCCCCAGAGGTCACGGGCCCCTACTCCAGGGGACGGTCTGAAGCTGACTGACAGCTATGGGTGAACAAACCCAACCCCCGAAGGAACCTGATTTGGACATGGGATGCTTTTTTTTTTTCAGAACATTTTTATTAGCATGTATCAGTTGTTCAGGGGAATTGTGACATTTCCACATACACTTACATTTTACATTGGTTAGGTTCGCACCCCCCCCCCTTTGTATGTATATACTGTTAGATTTACTGTTTTGTGCTAAGATTTTTTTTTTGGCAGTACTGGGGCTTGAATTCAGGGCCTTCACCTTGAGCCACTCCACCAGCCCTATGTTTGTGAAGAGTTTTTCAAGATAGGGTCTCATGGAACTACTTACCTGTGCTGACTTCCAACTGTGGTTCTCCTGATCTCTACCTCCTGAGTAGCCTGGATTATAGGCTTGGCCACTGGCGCCCAGATCGACTTCCTTTCTTGATGCCTTTGTGTTTTTGCTATCAGAGCCATGCTGACCTCAAAATGCAAACTGGAAGGGTATAGAAGAAACCTGTATGTGCACACTGATAACCTCACAACTTCCCTTAAAGCCATTCTACCTCCTTGCGGGATCTCATGTGACCTTCAGGGGCCTTTCCAGATGAATGGGCCCCTTCTGCCTACTTGGCAGCAGGGTAGGCTCTCCCCTCCAGTGTGGCTTCAAAGTCCAAAGCTGTCGCTGCTGCTGGATCCCAGACCTCCCTGGAAAGGGTCCTCCCTTTCCCAACTGCCATCCCCACTGCCTGCAGCTTCTTGGGGTCTCTCCCAAATGAACCACTACTTTTTGCACCTGCTTCTGGGGGTGGGGCTGAGACAATGAGGCTAGGGTATTTCTTCTCTCTTTTCTGGAAGAGTTTTAAGAGGGGGTTCATAGGAGTGAGGGTGTGGCTAAAGTGGTAGAGTGCCTGCCTCGAAAGCGAAAGGCCCTGAGTTCAAAGTCTGGTACTGTCAGAAAAAGAAAGGGCTTCACAGGAAATGTCAGACAGGGATTTCCTAGGTTTGCATGTTTTAGCCCCCTGGTGAGACCTGAAGTGGGTGAATTTGTCTCCCTGGGCCTCAGTTTCCTCATCTGTAAAATGCAGCCAATCCACATGGCAGGTGCTCACCACTCACAGCTTCCACTGAGCCCCAGCATAAACAACACATAAGCCTGGGCGGGTGACTTTATTGCAAGCCCCAACGGGCCAGATGTTTCAGGTAGGCGCCCCAGCAGGCCAGGTGTTTCTGATGGGAGTGCCAACAGGCCAGGTGTTTCAGGGGGTGCCCTAGTGGACCAGGTGTTTCAGGTGGGCACACCAGTAGGCCAGGTGTTTCAGATGGGCACTCCGATGGGCCAGGTGTTTCAGATGGGCGCCCCAGCAGACCAGGTGTTTCAGTTGGGAGCGCTAGCGGGCCAAGTGTTCTACGTGGGAGCATCAGTGGGCCAGGTGTTTCACATAAGGGCCCAGTGGACTAGGTTTTTTCAGGTGGGAGTCCCAACAGGCCAGGTGTTCCATGTGGGAGCGCCAATAGGCCAGTTGTTCAAAGTGGATGCCCCAATGGACTAGGTGTTAAGATGGGCACCCCAGAAAGCCAGGTGTTTTAGGTTGGGTGCCTCAGCGGGCCAAGTGTTCCAGGTGGGCACCTAGTAAGTCAGGTGTTTCAGGAGCCAGCAGTGGCATGGGCAGCGCATCCGCTGTCTGTAGTGTGGCCAGTTGCAGGCAAGCTCCGTGCTGGACTCAGAGGACGCAGAGTGGCAGGGGGCAGTCACCTGGGGTAATGAGGTGCCATTGCTGGGCTGTTTCTCCCATTGCTTCTGGCATGGTTTGGTGGTCCTGGGGATGGAGTCCTCTGGCTCACTGGGGCCCTTGCTGGTAGGCTGCACAGGGTCAATGGTACCACTTGGAGACTGGTCCGGAGGCAATGCTTGGTTGGGGATGATGTAATACGGCGTGGGCACCAAGGATCGGAGGGCTGGCTGCGAGAACCTTGGGGTAGCACTGGGTAGTCGGGCACGCTGCTGGGGCCGGGTGGAGCTGGAAGTGCTGCCTCGTCCCCGGGGCCTGCTGGGTAGCTGGGAGCCATTGGCAGAGCCAGAGACCACCTGACCCTGGGACGTGGGACTGGGGGTGGCCGAAGAGTGAGACTGTGAGTTGGCACCTGAGGTGGTGCATAAGGGGCTCCCGGAGAACTTGTCTGGACTTGAGGGTTTGGGGTGGGAATCTTCCGAAGAGTCTGTGGAGGACTCTGCGGAGGGCTGGTGGTCTTCTGTGAGCCCTTTCTCTCCAGCCAGAGGATCCACGCAAGGGCTGGAGGGCTGTTTCACTTGTTCTTCTGCGGTGGACTCAGGCTTGGCTTGGCTGCAGAGAGGGTGGGAAGGGATGTAGGCAGGCTGGAGTTCCACCCGCCCACCAGCCCCAGGCTCTGCTGGGCTACTGGAGAGCAGGTTCAAACTACTAGTGGCAAATGTAGACACAGCTTGAGAGGGAGGGTGGCCATCCTTGGCGAATGGCAGAGCACATGTGTGCAGACCTATGCACACTCACCCACACATTCATCCACATACACCAACACATGTACACACACACAAACACATACCAACACACCCACACATGCACTCAAACCCCTCCCACATGCACACATACCAACACTCCTGAACACACCCACACGTGCACACACTCACAACACACATGCATCCTGCCCACATATACACACACATGCACACTCACACACATGCACACCCCACACATGCTCACGACACATGCACACCCACCCACACATGCACACAACGTGCATTCACACATACATGCATACCTGCCCACATGTCCACATGTGCACCCCCATGTGCATACCCACACATGCATACTCACACATGTACCCACATGTATATCCACACATGTACTTGTGCACACATAAACACGTGCATACTCATACATGCACACACGTACACTCACCCACACATTCATACTTCTGCTTGCAGACTAATATACACACACATGCATACTCCAATACCCATATACGCACACACTATGCACACACATCCACACATGCATGTACATACACACCCCTTCACATGATGCTTATCCATGCACACCCACACCATGCACACAGCCACACACATATGCATTCCCACACTTAGACATGCACGCACACACACACTCAAAACACAACCCTACATCCTCCCCCACCTCCCTCCCGTGTTACATACGGTTGGCTTCCAGGGTGGTTGGGGGTTCCACCACCGACGCTGGGGTGACGAGAGCCCGGCCGCGGGCCAGGGCCTGCAGAACTGGTTCCCGAGAGCATGGGAGAGAAAGGTGGACAGTAAGAGGGGAGCAGCAAGGCTCCAAGGGGACAGTCAAGATGCCAGAGGAGTGTGGTCAAAGGCAAGAAGGGAGACAGGCAGATGTGAGGCGGGACAGATGAACCAAGATGGACAGACAGACACATGGGCAAAGCAAGACCCAGGACACAGACACAGCCAGACAGGTGTCCCCCAGCACTCACTATCCCTGGTTATTCCGGCTGCTGCGTCTAGGGCCCGACCACTGAGGTAGCTCATGGCGCTGTCCACTGCTGCGTGATGCTTTAGAAACAGCGGTCGAACGACGCGGTGATACAGCACGAGGGCCCCGTTCCAGGGCCCTGGAGTCATGCAGAACAACAGGAAGGCGCACTGCGGGGTATAGGGCAGTCACACTCAGTCCCTGACCCTGGCAGGAGCTGGGCCTCCATTCTCAGACAGCCCTAAGCCAGCCGTGTCTTCCAGGAAAGGGACTGAGTCTCCCAATCACAACCTGGAGGCAGAGTCCACACCCACAAGCCCCTAGACTCCCCCTTACCCCCAGGGTGGGTGTCCCCAGCTGTGCCTACTCACCTTGCCCACGTAATAGAAAGGGAACCAGAACAGGAGTAGATCGCTGAAGAACTCGGCTAGCCCGAACAGAGCGTACACCACCCAGTAGGTGAGCCACACAGTGTCGTCTTCTTTGCTTGGGCTCTCGATAGCTTTGATTCTGCAGGGAGGTGCCACAGGCTCAGGGGCTGCCTAGAACACCCTCCCACCCCCTTCCCCATATGGAGAGCAGGGGCACTTACGAAGCATACGCGGGGTATACAAATCCGATCAGATTGCACAGTAGAGATGCCCCGTAACCGAAGAGAAGGTACAAGCTTAGCAGAGTGACGGCTCCTGCACAAGAGAGGGCAGTAGGCAGGGACTTAGGCATCTTCTGTACCCTGACTGTGATGCCCATGCCCATCACCTGGTGACACCCACAGGATGCATGAGTTGTCACCTTGGGGCACCTGTGCATCCCCCATGGTTGCCTTAAGCACTACGTCTTTTATCTGACTGGTCAACACCTCTGTTTCATGGGAGCTGTGAGCTCCCCAAGGGCAGGCAGGGACCTCAGCTCGGGGCCAGGGGTCAGTTTGTTGAGTGGATACAGAAGAGCTACCCAATAAACACTTGTTGAATGAATAAACAACTGTCAGCTGTCATCTCCATGTAGTTCCCACATTGGCACTGCTGATATTTGGGACTGAATTGCTCTGATATCTGGGTACTACAGGGTACTGAGCAATGACCCCAGCCTCCATCCACTCCATGCCAGAAGCACCCCCAGTCTTGACAGCACAGATATCTGCAGACATCACCAAATATCCCTTGAGGGGGCCGGTTGCCCCCTTTGAGACCCAGTATTAAGTGAGGCAGTGAAACCCCACATCTGGATTTCCCAGATCTAGGCGGGCTCCTTGCTCTTTTCACTTGACATTGAGCAAGACTGTTTCTGCGCAGAGCCTTAGTTATCCATCAGCAAATGGAGGAAGTCAATGGCCCTTGTCTCCCAGGGTTGCCAGACTTAGAGTTGACCTCTTCCTTCCTACACATTTATTGAGCCCCTTCTGGTCATGAAAACATACTCTCAGCAATGAACTTCTGAACTTGACTCAGAAAAAGATAACAAAAACCGATACAGCTATTAAGTGCTTATTGTGTGCCTGGCTCAGTGCCTCCTCTGCCTTATCTCATTCAATAGTGAACCAGGCAGGCTGGGGAGTGTGGCTTGCCCAAGGTTACACTGGAACCTTTGAACAGCCTCCTTCCTCCTCCCCTGAGGCTGTAATCTGCAGAGAGTGTTCCAGGTTGCCCCAACCCCTCCCTTCACCTGCTTTGGTCTCTATACTCCGGCCTTAGGTTGAGGGGGGGGAGGTCGGTCCCAGCTAATGACACCCAGTCACTGCACCTGAGTTGCCTCACTTCTTACCTGCAGGCATGCACTGGGAATTTGGGGCAGTTGAAGCCCAAGGATCCCTTTGTGGGGGTGAGGGACATGGGGAGTTATCCCCTCCCTGGGATATGGGATGTTAATGGGGAGGAGGGCTCTCCCAGGACATCCTGTCCCCAAATCCCTTTTGCTGCAGCCTCAGCAAGAGAAGGATGATCTTGGACAACAGGGCTGGGGTGGCGGGGGGGGGGGGGGGGGGGCAAAGCCAGACAGATCAGCAACAGATGGGCCAGGGTGCGGAGGGGTAGGTATTCCAGACAAGGGAAGCAGCCTCCTACACAGCCTGTGCCTCAGTTTCCTCCCTGGTGACACATAGCTGACCTCTCCCTGCCCCCTCCCTCCCAGTGCTCTTATGACCTAAATTCCCCACCCACTGGTACCAGTAGATGTGTAAGCCAGGGCAGAGTTCAGCTGCTCTCCCAGCAGGCACAGCTGGAGCAAGCATGGGGCTGGGTACAGGGGGCCTCCCAGATCTGAATCTAGTTCAGAATGCCCTCCGGCTGCCTGACATAGGCACCCTCCATGGGTGGGAAAATGAGAGTAAGCTGGACTCCCAGAATCTGTGCACATAAGGTGTGGGGGAAAAAAAAAAGTCACTGTCCTCCACGCAGAGGTCCCCAGGGTTCAGACAGTGTCCTTCTACTGCCAAAAGGTGGAGGGAGGCACTGAAGGGGTGCAGCTTAGCAGAGAAGTGGAAAGAAGCAGGGGAACCACATGGGGTGGTTGGATTTTCCCTTCTCTGGGGTTCCATCGAAGTTGTCAACCAAATTCAACAAATAGTGAGACAAAGCCATTAGGCCGGGAAAGGGGAGAGGGCAGGCCAACAAGAAGGTCCAGACCGCCTCACAGAAGCTTCTGGCCCTCTCCAGGCGCGGGCCTCCCCTCAGAGAAACCAGGCGACGTCTCCACTGGTTGCCAGGCAGTGGGCCACCCGGGAAGGAGTCGTGGAGACTCAGGACCCCGACACCCAGACCACTCCTGGCTCCCTGGAGGCCGGCTGGACAACTGGAAGAACAGGATTTGGGCCCAAATGGCACCCAAGGCCTCAAGGAGGGGGCAGGGGACGGCGAGGGTCTGAGGCTGCAGGAAAGTGCTGCAGGAGCCAGAGGTGGCTGTGGTTTCCTCGCACAGCGGGAAAGGGCAGGGGCCACCAACAGACACAAGATCCCAGTCACCCTCCCCAGGATCTGGGTCTCTCCGCTGGGCAGTGGGGCGCACGCCCAGCCTGGACAGGACCACGCAATTGGGGCCAGTTGGAAAAACACCAGATCCGAGACCTCGGTGCCCATGGCCTCGGTGTGTTCGTCGGTGAAATGGGGCTCACCCGCGGCCAGATACCGCTTCTCGACACCGGTCCAGGCTTCGAGTGCTCCGAGTGCTTCGGTGGCAAAGTTGCTCTGTTCTAGAAAGCGCTCGAAGCGCTGGCGCAGGCCGTCCATGGCACCGGCGGGCCCGAGGTTGGGAGCTCGAACTAGCCCGCTTCCCAGCACACCGGCTCCGCCGCGCGCGCACCGCCATGCCCCCTCGCGGGCCGCCCTGCTCCGCCCCTGGCCCGGGTTCCGCCTCCGGCCCCCCGCCTGGGCCAATGGGAGGGCAGGGCGGACAAAGGAGGTGGGGCCTGCCCCGTCTCCTTCGCCGCATTGCGCTCTGGCTGGCGGCGGCCGGAGGGGCAGGAACCTCGCAGGAAGGGGGCGGGGCGCGGTGACGAGGGCGCCGATTGGTCGAGAAGGAGTAGGATGTAACTGATTGGAGGGGTAGCGTCAGGGCTGGGATTATTTGCTGCTCCCTGAGGTGGGTGGAGCTAGAAGAAAAAGAAGATTCATTGGTGAAGCCGGAGGAAGGGCGTGGTTGATCATAAAGGAGGCGGGGCGGAACAGGGGGCGGGGACAGGGCGGGGTTAAATTAGGGAGGCGGGACTTAACGCGAGGGGACAATTTTGATTGAAGCATATAGGAGGCAGGGCTGGTTTTCGAAGGACAGCTGTGTAAGAATGTGGAGGGGCCAGATAAACGGTAATGGTCTTTTAATATAACAATGAACCGGCTCCTCTAAGCCAGATGGGGTCCCTGTACAAATGAAAAGACTGAAGCTCCAGAGGGCTTTGGTCTGTGGGCTCGTGTATCCCCTGACGATTTGTATCGGATCTTCCCGTTCTTTGTGGGGCTGTGAATCGCAAGGCCCCCTGGGAATTGAAGTCCTCCGAGTTGCTATGGTATCGGGGACAGGGCGGGCGCCAGGCGGACTCGGCGGTTTGGCCAGGGGAGGGGTTTCCGGGTGCCCGCCCCGGCCCCGCCCCCGCCGTCATGCGGCCCGCCCAGACTGAGCTCTGGCTGAGCCTGACCTTGGCCCTGGCCCAGGCCCTAGTCGGTCCCTTGCCAATTGGATGGGCCTCAGCTCGGACCCCCATTTATGTCAGCAGCTGGGCCGTGCGGGTGACCCAGGGTTACCGCGAGGCGGAGCGCCTGGCACGCAAATTCGGCTTCGTCAATCTGGGACAGGTACCAGGTGGAACCGGGATGTATGGGAAAAGTGGGGACCTGGACCACCCCAGCCCCTGACAGATGGAAGGGGGTCCCTAAAGCCCCCAAATATCAAGAGCTTTCTGCCCATCCCTGCCATGGCCATCTTCGGACTCTGGGACTCCCAGGATGCACTTGAAGGCCCTACCTGTGCACCAGGTTGAGGTTCAAGCAACGGGGCTAGTCCCCTTCCCTGGTGGGGAGGGTTGGGCTCCATCAGAGGAGCCAAGTTCCAGCAGTGCAGCTGCTCCCACATTCCCAGATCTTCCCTGATGGGCAGTACTTCCACCTTCGGCACCGGGGCGTGGTCCAGCAGTCCCTGACCCCACATTGGGGCCATCGCCTGCGTCTGAAGAAAGACCCCAAGGTGAGCCTGGTCTAGGAGGCTTTCCCCACCTCCTGAGGGCCAGCCTGCTGCCTTCTGTCATTCTTGTGGTTGTCATGAGTAGCTGTGTGGTCTTCAGTGGTTCCCCAACTCTCTCTGAAACTGGTTTCCACTTGGTCCCTGTAATGGGAACCCAGATGGAGTCTGATACCCACCAGGGCCTGGCACATGTTGCGCACATGTTGCTTCCTCTATACTTCTGAAAGGTCTAGACACTCTGGTAAGGAAGGACAATGTCTCTTCCCTACTCTCCAATGAATTTTACTACATGGAAAACAGTTCCACACAGTAGAAAGCCTGGAGTTGTCCAATGAGTCTGTGACTGAACTGAGACCAGAACCTATGAGATAGAAGTGGGAGGACATGAGCTGGTTTGGGGCTGAGAGATAAAGATGGTAAGGAGGAGGGAGAAGTCCTCCCTGGCTGGCAGAACAGCATATACAAAGGTCCTGGGGTGGAAATGGATTTATGGGCTTTTAGAACATAAAGGTGGTCGCTGAGGCTGTAACCAAGTGAGCAATAGGATGGCTAGACAGACAGAGTTTTGTGGGTGGTGAAGAGGGTGATGGAGAGTCAGGGAGGAGATGAGTTTGGTCTCTGAGGGGTATCTTGGCTAGGGAAGGGGAAATTAGAAGTGGCTGGTTTTGAAGTGATTGAAGGCTTGGATAAAAGGATATAGAACAGGGAGGGAGGAAGGTACAGGGTTGGGACCAGAGAAACCCCATTCATCTCTGGCTTCAGCCATGCATCTTTGAGTCTGGGTGCTCTGACAGCTTTGACCGCCAATTGAGGACAGAGCCCCAGGCACGTGAAGATTCCAAATAGCATCCCCAGCAATCATGGGTTCCATGGTAAGGACCCCTGCAGAGTCCCACAGCCCAACAGCTCCCCTCTCATACATGGAGGGGGGCCCAGGGACAAGCGGTGGACAGTCAAGCCACACCCCTGCAGGTGCAATGGTTTGAGCAGCAGACGCTGCAGCGGCGGGTGAAACGCTCCTTGATGGTGCCCACGGACCCCTGGTTCTTCAAGCAGTGGTACATGGTGAGCAGCAGTGCTGGGTGGGTAGGCAAAACCAGCTGGAGTCCAACTGACCCTGAATCCCCCTGCCTCGCACAGAATGACGAGATGCAGCCAGACCTGAACATCCTGCAGGTCTGGAGCCAGGGTCTGACAGGCCAAGGTATCGTGGTCTCTGTTCTGGATGATGGCATTGAGAAGGACCACCCGGACCTCTGGGCCAATTATGTGAGGCATCAGTCAGCCACGGCTGCCCCGGATCCCATGGCTGGGTCCCCAACACATGGAAACCTCACATGCCCCACCTGTCCCCACATATCCCTAGGACCCCCTGGCCAGTTACGACTTCAATGACTACGATCCGGATCCCCAACCTCGCTATACTCCCAGTGATGAGAACCGGTGAGCTAGGGTCCCATGGGGCTTGAAGGGGTCCCAGTGCTCCTTCAGGGATTGAGCAGGCTGTAATGGGCACCCCTCTGGACCCTGGCACTAGGCACGGAACTCGCTGTGCTGGGGAAGTGGCTGCCACAGCTAACAACGGCTTCTGCGGCATTGGGGTGGCCTTCAATGCCCGAATCGGAGGTATCGAGCACTGCCCGGGACAGAAAGTGGAAAGTGACTCTAGAGTGGCATACCTTCCAGGAGAAAGGCCTTATACCCACTCCTGGTCTCTGGGCGGTGCTGGGCCCCAGGCAGTGGGTGGTGGGGAGCTGGCGTGGGTTGCAGCGGGAAGGTGTGCTGGCTGGCTCGAGAGGCCCACGTTCACCTGCGCAGGTGTGCGCATGCTGGATGGTACCATCACCGATGTTGTGGAGGCACAGTCCCTCGGCCTGCAGCCGCAGCACATCCACATCTACAGTGCCAGCTGGGGCCCCGAAGACGATGGCCGAACCGTGGACGGCCCGGGTATCCTCACCCGGGAGGCCTTCCGACGAGGCGTGACCAAGGTAAGCAGGGGCACAGGGCCACAGAGTCCAGACCTTCCAGATGCCAGTGTCTGACACCCGGATGGTCCTCCCGTCCCTTCCAGGGCCGTGGTGGGCTGGGCACACTCTTCGTCTGGGCCTCGGGCAACGGTGGCCTCCATTACGACAATTGCAACTGTGACGGATACACCAATAGCATCTACACCCTGTCTGTGGGCAGTGTCACAAAGCAGGGCCGTGTGCCCTGGTACAGTGAAGCCTGCGCCTCCACCTTGACTACCACCTTCAGTAGTGGTGTGGCCACCGATCCACAGATCGTGAGTGCCTCCCAACACTCAACACAGGCATGTGCCTGTGTGTGTGTGTGTGTCCTGCTCCAGCCCCCCCCCAGCCCTGCCTTGCCCCCCCACCCCTTCTACCCCCACCTTCCTCCTCCCACCCCCCAGCTAGCCTGTCTCTCCTTCCCCCTCACCTCCAGCCAACAGGCCACGCAGCCTGCCTGCTCACCACGGTACCCCTCCCAGAGCCCCTTCCACACAAAAACCCAACTGCATAAGCCCACTGTAGCCTCCCTGAGGCACCGAGAGCCAAAACAACTCTAGCCCCAGCCCTCCACCTTTGTACCCTTCTTGGAGGGTTTATGCATGTGCTTCCCTTTGCCCTTCCTGACTCTTCAGAGCTCCATCTGAGGGCTGCCGCCTCCAGGAAGCCTTTCCACACCTTTCCCCTCAACACCAGCCCCTGACCCAACACACGTGGCCTCCACAACACCTCCCAGTGCCTGAGGTTCAACAAGGCCACTGCCAGTCCCCACCATGGCTCAAGGCTGGAGCCAGGCCCCACTATCAACGCTCACCACTCCTCATGTTTACCAGGCAAAGCCAACTGCTCAGGCTTATGACCTAGCTGGTGCTCAGGACCTTGAGCCTGGTATAATGTTCAGATGTGCTATCTCAAAGTCCTTTTTTTTTTTTAATCCTGGGGTTTGAACTAAGATCCTTGTGCTTGCTAGACAGGTACTTTACATTTGAGTTATACCCAGCACAATCATGCCAGCACATTCTTTCTTTCTTTTTTTTTTTTTTTTTGTGGTACTGGGGTTTGAACTCAGGGCCTCACACTTGCTAGGCAGGTGCTCTGCCACTTGAGTCACTTCACCAGCTCCCACTGATATTTCTTAAACTCAGTCCTTAGCTCACTTTTAAACTCAGTGTTTGGTACTTTTTGAGCTTAGTTGTTAGTACTTTTTTGTTTTGTTTTGTTTTTTGGCAGTACTGAGGTTTGAACTCAAGCTTTCATGCTTGCTAGGCAGGCGCTCCACCCTTACTGACCATTTGCTAGTACTTTTTGAACTTAGTCCCTGGTATTTTTTGAACAAGGACTGCATTTGCACTGCGCACTGGGCAGTTCTGCCCCTCTCTGCCCCCAGGTCACCACAGACCTACACCACCAGTGCACGGACAAGCACACAGGTACCTCAGCCTCAGCCCCGCTGGCCGCAGGCATGATCGCCCTGGCTCTGGAGGCCAAGTAGGTGACCATGGGGGATGCCCACCACCCTGCCCCCAGGCGTGGGCCCAGCTCACCCACCTTTGCACGCCCTCCCCGCAGCCCACTCCTGACCTGGAGGGACATGCAGCATCTGGTGGTCCGAGCATCCAAGCCTGCACAGCTGGAGGCAAAGGACTGGAGGATCAATGGCGTGGGGCGCCAAGGTGCGGTGGGTCCAGGCAGGGAATGGGGTGCAGTGCCTGCAGGGCAAGTGACAGTCACCCTTCTATGCAGTAAGCCACCACTATGGCTATGGGCTGCTGGATGCTGGGCTGCTGGTGGACCTGGCTCGCACGTGGCTGCCTACACAGCCGCAGAAGAAATGCGCCATCCGGCTGTGCACACCCCCATGTGAGGGAGGCCCCTCCCCAGCCTTCCCCTGTGCATACCTGCCATCTCCCTGGCCCTCTCCTGACACCAGTCATTGCCCAGGGGAGGGAGTCCTAAGGCCTCAGTTTACCCATCTGAAAAATGAGAGGGTGGGCCCCATGACCTTTGAGACCAGATGTGCCTGCTGGCTGCCCACCCTCCCTGGGAGGCCAACAGGACAGTCCTCACCCCCACCCAGCACCATCCTGCCACTGATGCAAGTGGGAAAGAATGTGTCAGCCTGCGCTGGCCGGCGCAACCACATCCGCTCACTGGAGCACGTACAGGTGCAGCTCTCATTGTCCTACAGCCGTCGTGGGGACCTGGAGATCTCGCTCACCAGTCCCATGGGCACCCACTCCACACTTGTGGCCATCAGGTATGCACTGGGAGAAGCTACCTCTACCTCAGTCCACTGCTGGGGATGGCTGATCAGGACCCTGTGGACAAATGCTGTTCTCCTGAGTGTCCTCCATGAAGGGGCAGTACAACTGCAGGTTGAACCTGCCACACATATCTGGGACTAGACTGCCCAGTGACCAGCACATGGCTTTCTGGGTTTGTACCACTCTGATTTCAAGGCTGCTCCCCTTTCTCTCTTCTACTGCCCACCTGCCCACCCTAGACCCTTGGATATCAGCAGCCAAGGCTACAACAATTGGATCTTTATGTCCACCCACTACTGGGATGAGGCCCCTCAGGGCTTATGGACCTTGGGCCTGGAGAACAAGGGCTACTATTTCAACACTGGTGAGAGCTGCCTGGGGACTCCACCCTCCAACCTTGCCCCAGGCTGGGGCTTCAGGACTGCCATTGGTTACCCATGGTCTCAGGAGTTCCCACAGGTCTCCATGGAGAGACTATGTGTGCAAACACATCTGGGACCCAGGTGCACAGTTACCTGGGAAAATGGAGGTCCAGCACTGGCACACAGTTACCTAGGGAAGTGTAAAGTTCCCCAGGGAAGTGTGGGTCTGACCACCAGCACTCAGGAGGTGCTTGATGGCCTAGACCCATCCAATTTGGGGCCTTGGGTGGCTGAGGACAGGGACCCAAGACCTGGAGAGACCAGGCTGCCAACAACCTCTCCCCTCCCTGTGCCCCTCGTGATCCCTGCCCAGGGACACTGTACCGCTACACACTGCTGCTCTACGGGACAGCTGAGGACATGACAACTCGGCCCATGGCCCCCAGGTGACCAGCAGCGCGTGTGTGCAGCAGGACACAGAGGGGCTGTGCCAGGGTGAGTGGCCAGCACCACATGGCCCACTTGCTGCAACAGCAGGGCAGGCAGTGTGCGTGTGCGGCCCATGGCAGGTGGGTGGGAAGCTGGTGGGCACTGGTGGCAGGCTGCAGCCTTACGCCCTCCATGTCTTCATGTCTCCCGTGCAGAATGCGACAGGCCTACCTATATCCTAGGTCCTCTCTGCCTTTCCTACTGCCCGCTGAGGTACTTCAACTGCGCCCAGCAGGCGGTGAACACAGGGCCTGGGCACCCAGCTGCACCCACCCTCCAAGTGTGCATCAGCTACCACAGCTCCTGCTACACCTGCCAGGGCAGCTCCTCTGGAGACTCCATGGCCTGCCCCTGCTCCACACCCTGAACAAGCACCAGGACCTGCTCAGGGCCCACCATCCCCACTGGCCACCCCAAGTCCACCACCACCTCTGGCTCTGCCACTGTTGCCTAGACCAGCCCATGTTACTGGCCCTGTTGACCGTGGCCTTTGGGAGCACCCTCCTCTACCACATTGTCAGAGGGTCACCCACTCTAGTCTGGGCCTTCCCCATCCTGGGGCCATGCCTGTCACCACCCCAGGCCCTGCACTGTGTGTGGGAACCTGGAGCTATCCAACTTGGAGGATGGAAAGCAGACTCCTGGTGGGCCTGGGGTGGGTGCTGCCGTCCCCTCCCTCACCCAACTGGGACAAGCCCCAGAAGGTCCTGGCAGCCCTCTAGTGGCTATAGGTCAGGGCACAGCCATACAGAGTCTCACAGCCTGGACTGAACAGCTGTGAGTGACAGAGAGAGAGAGATAGACAGACAGAGGTTTCCTTATGCATGGGTGACTGGATAGATGGGCAGAAGCTGGACAGCAGCCATCATCTCTTTCCTGCTCCAGAATCTGTCCAAACAGTCTTGGGCACTGGTGTCTGACTTCAGAGTTTGCAAATAAAGGTTGAATAGAAGGTACCAAGCTTGTGGGCTCCTTTGGGGCAGGGTGGGCCCTCCATCCCCTGCCCCTGAGCTACACTTGGAATCTGTGCCCCCCATGGGCCCCTGGAGAACCCAGTGGGACACAGAAGAAGAATCAGGCTCAGGCCCAGAGAGACCTCAGGCTGGTGGAGGGTGGAGCATTAGGGACTAGGTTGCTTCCCGAGTGACACCCACATGCTGTTGACACTGAACTTCCTACTCTGGAACACAGGCCGCACAGGCTTTCTGCATTGTCTGGCATACACTGAGCATCCTAAACCAACTGGAAGCTTGGGGCAGGTACGTGGAAATACAGTAAGCAGTTCTGCAGACAAGCATGGAGTTACCATCAGACCGAGCCTGCCTAGGTATATTCCCCTGAGAACCGAAAACACATGTTCACACAGCAGCTTACACAGGCTCACAGCAGTGCGATTCACAGCAGCCAAGAGGTGGGGACAGCCCAAGTGTCCATCCACACTGGAACATCACTCAGCCATGAACAGGATAAGGCATGCCACAATATGGAGGGATCTTGAGGACACTGTGCTCAGTGAGAAAGCCAGACACAAAGGCCCACAAGGTGTGGCTTCATTGATAGGAAATGTTCTGAACAGGAGAATCCAGAGACAGAAAGTGGACTCATGAGTGTCAGGGGCTGGAAAAGAGAGGGGCTTAGTATTTCATGGAGATGGGACTTCTTTTTGGAGTGACAAATGTTCCAGAATTAGAGGGGATGGTTCCACAACTCTGTTTAAAAAAAAAGAAAAAACCACTGAATTATACACTTTTAAATAGGTGACCAGTATGGTGGTATGTAAATGCATCACGATAAAGCTATTTAAAAACACAAAAACTGCCCCCTGTTCCTTCTGCCCTCTAATGCCAGCCCAGTGGGAACGGTCTAGATGACCCTGCATCTGGGAGGTTTACAAATGTGAGGGGGACCTTGGCCAGGTCAGGAAAGGTAGATGCTGATGCATCCAAATTCGGATGGTTAGAGCATCCGAATTTATGGGGCATTCACTGTGAGTGCGGTAGTGGTAGACAGTGACTTTGTCTCCACTTCCAACGCATCCAGAGGGACCTGAACTTCAACTCACGCTCACCTTGCGCTTCCAGGCCAAGATAGCTAGGGAAATTGATAGCGCTGTGGTCCAGTCGCGCCTCCTGCTGGATGGAACCAGGATCCTCGAAATCGCTATGGCTTTAAGAGGGGCGGGTAAAAGCTAGAGAAGACCGGAAGCGCGCGTCACGTGTCCGTACCGTGGGCAGGCTTCGAACGGAAGCGGAAGTGATCGCGGCAGCGCTGGCTGCTGCAGCTGGTTGTTAAGTTGCTGGGAGATAAGCTTCAGGTATTTCCGCGAGGAAACAGAGGCCGAGGTCGAGCCGAGCCCTGAAGTCCCGGACGGTGTTTGGACGGTGGGCAGGCCAGAGACTTGGAGAGGTCGGAGAGGCACAGGAGCCGGGTAGGCTTCCCAGCAGCGTGGCCGCGGCGGGTGCGTATGAGTTCACCGGGTCGGAGGAACGGCCTGGCCAAAGACCGAGAGATGGACGACCCGGTCAATGCTGTCTTCTCCCAACTCCAGGATGGGCTCCAAGGCCAAGAAGCGCGTGGTGCTGCCCACCCGCCCGGCGCCTCCCACCGTGGAGCAGATCCTGGAGGACGTGCGCGGGGCTACAGCCCAGGACCCCATCTTCACTGCTCCGGCCCCGGAAGGTAGGAGGGATTCCCGAGTCTCCACCGTAGAGGGGGGAAGCACACCCAACTCCGATAGCAGATTCGGTGAGGCCATGTAATTCGGAGTATGGACTCGAGCCAGGAACTTGGGTTCTTTGTCCTCTCTCTCTGAAGCTCGCTCTCGTCTGTAAAATGGGCCCGTTTTCGGGATCGTTTAAAACGGGTGTGCAGACTAGGGCCTGCAGCCAAACCCTGCCCGCCTCCTGGTTTTGTTCGTTCCGGAGTTAAGAATGCATTTTTCCTTTACTTTATTTGTTGCGGTTCTGACATTTGAACCCAGGATCTTGCGCATACTAGGTAAGCGCCCTGCCACTGAGCCACACTCAGTGGGGTTTATTTAATTTATTTTTTTATGGGACTGGGGTTTAAACTCAGGGCTTCTCACTTGCAAGGCAGGTGCTCCACCGCTTGAGCCCCCCCTCCATTTTGGTCTGGTTATTTTGGAGATGGGGTCTCACAGACTATTTTCCCTGACTGGCTTCAAACTGTGATGCTCCTTGATCTCAGCCTCCCAAATAGCTAGGTTTACAGGCATGAGCCACCAGAGCCCGGCATATTTACTTTTTTTGTTGGTGGTACTGGGGTTTGAACTCAGCACTCTACCACTTAAGCCATATCCCAAGCCCACATTTCCTTTTATGTTATGTTAAAACATTACATCCTGGGCTGGGGGTGTGGTTCGGTTGTGGAGCTCTTGCCTAGTGTGTGTGAGGCCCTGGGTTTCATCCCCGCACTACAAAAACCAACAAGAAGTCGTACGTATCCCAGCTTCACCTAGCCACATTTCACATGCCCAAAAGCCTATAGGGCTAGTGGCTGCAGTGTGGGATGGCACAAGTGGACATTTCTATCATGGGAAAGTTCTGTGGACAGCAAGACTGGGAGTCTAAGCCACGCAGTGGGTGATCTGAACCCCCGTTTAAGAACTACGGGGCCTAGGTCTCTCTGCTTGTGGCAGAGAAACTGAGGAAATGGGAAACTGAGACATGGCAATTCAGATGCTCACTCAAGGGAGAGAGGGCATTTCTGCCGGTCTTATTCATGTGTGCCATCTGGTGTTTACCACCTCCTTAACAAAGAAAGTGGGGATAAAAGTGACTTTCTTTGATTTTTTTTTTCTTTTGAGGCAGAGTCTTTCTCTCTTTTTTAACAGTTAAAATGTTCCATTTATTTCAACACCTGAAAAATGACACAAGATATATGCAGCATATCAAAGAAGCAGCCTTTTAAAAAATCATGTTGTAGAAAAAATGAAGAATGAGATAATGGGCAATAGAACTGGTTTATAGATGCTTTTATATTTGGTTTTAACTTATGTAAATTCAGCAATATCCAACGGATTTGGCAAAGATTTATTTTTTATTTCCAGTGCTTTTTTTGGCCGCACTGGGGTTTGAATTCAGGTCCTCATGCTTACTGGCAGGTGCTCTTACTGCTTGAACTACTCTACCAGCCCTTTTTTTTACAGTGGGTTTTTTGGAGATAGGGCCTCTCAAACTGTTTGCCTTGTCTCGTTTCAAACTGTGATGCTTCTGATCTCTGCCTCCTGACTGATCTCTGCCTCCTGAGTATCTAGGATTACAGGTGTGAACCACCAACACCTGGCTTTCCAGTCTTTTAAAGAAGACACAGATTTGCTTGCAATAAAACTGATTTTAAGAGCACACAAAAAGCTGGGTGCTGGGTGGTTCACGCCTGTAATTGTAGCCACTCAGGAAACAGAAATCAGGATTATGGTTCAAAGCCATCCTGGGCAAATAGGTTGTGAGAACCTATCTCAAAAAAACCTAAAAAGGGCTGATGGTGTAGGCGTTGAGTTCAAACCCCAGTACCCCCCGCCATGCACACACAAAGGCACATAAAAGTTGAGCACAAATTATTAATTAATCTAGCAATTCAGAGTGATGAAGAGTAAAAGATGACAGAGTAAAAAACTGACAATCCTTCCCCACCCCACCAGGTAACCTGATAGTCAAGGTTGCAGTCCTCACACTGCAGAAGCAGTGGCTTTGTGTGTGGATGATGCAGTGGAATTTGTAGATGTGCCTTGGTTTCTATTTGTTATAATAACAGTTCACAAAGTTAAGTGGTCTTTATAGACAACCTGCATTCATTTAAATTAAACACTTTTTTTTATAATAGTGTGATTATAAAGCCACAATATTCCTTCTGAACAAACTATTGAGTATAGTGAGTTTACTATGAATGCTATTCATTCTTTATATTAAAGTGTTCTAAGTGAATTAAGGTTATAGGTAATTTTTCAATATTCCACTCATCTTGACTTAAAATTATTTATACTACTTATATCTAATAGCCAAAGAAAACTTATTACCAAATGCTTACAATAGGCATTAGTCTGACATGCTTATTAAATTGATCCCAGAGGCATGATTATATAGACCAGCAGAGACAGAATCTCCCTATGTATACCAGGCTGACCTGGAACTCCCCATTCTCTTGCCTCAGCATCCTGACTGCTGGGATTACAGGTTACTTCTAACCAAACACTGGTGTTCCCCAGGCCTGGGCTGGGTGTTGGGCCCATTCAGTGGGAATCCAGACAGCCTGTGCCAGTACAGAGGAAGCCAGGGTGGAGGGGTGGCCGCAAAGCCTTGTGCTTTCTAAGGATCAGGGTTTTTTTTTTCCTTTCTGTGGTTTCTGCTTGTGTGAGTATTGTCAGCAAATGGGTCTCCACGTCTCACTTTTGTTGCCCCAGATCCCCAAGTGTTGGGTCTTATGGTTGCACAGTCACTGGATAGTCCTTGAGGAGCTGGCCTGGTGTAGTTCTTGCTCCAGAGAGCCAAGCCACTTCATCCAGGAGTAGCAGCAACCTTGACTATTTCCAGGAAGTGACACTCACCCCAGGGAATGGCTGCCTAATGGTCATGGTTGAGTTTTTTCTGTGACTTGTTCCCCTACCACACACTTTGCTGGGGTTGAAACTGAGAGGACTCTGCCAGCCAGGCAGGGAGAGCTGGCTGCCCGGTCAGCTCTGTGCCTGTTCTCACTGCCCTGAGGCCCTGGTACCCTGGCCAGGAATGGTCTTAGACCTGCCCAAGACTGCTCAGGGAAAACAAGGCACCCCCACCCATGGCTGCCCTGGCAAAGGAGGCCCACAGATACCGGGGAGTCTGTAGTCCAGGGCTTGATCACCATTGGGCAGTGATGCCGCTATCTTTTATCCCTAGACCCTTCAGGAGCCTGCAGAAAAGCTGAGGAGCCCGAGGCCGAGCAGGAGCTGCTTTACCAGCAGAGCCGTGCCTATGTGGCCACCAATGACCGGTTGCGGCTGGCCAGTGATGGGCTTAGGCAGAAGTGTGAGGATCTTCAGCAAGCGGGCCAGGAGCTGGAACAGGACATCATCCAGGTGACACAGGCGTCACTGCCTGCGCCAGAGACTTCGGCTGTCTCCTAGGGCTGACCTGGGCTGACCTGGGTCTGGGCCAGTGCCCGATGCTGCCCATCTGACATTCCCCCGTGGGGCCCTGAGTGCCCCTGTCTGGCATTCCACACACATTCAGCACCTGGGGGCTACTTTGCTCCTGCTTGTCCCCCTCATTCCAGTGGTTTCAGATCACTGCATCCTCTCATGACACCCAGCCCCAGTGGGACCCACCCTGCAGGTTCCTCCAGTCTCCATGGACTTCAGCAAGGTTCAGCAGAGATTAGGGAAAAGGACAGGGAGCGTGGCTGCTCCATATTCTGCCCCTACTCCCCTACAGCGGCCTCTGACCTGAGATGGGGCCTCTGGAGCAGTCACATCCTCCATTGCCAGGCCTTCTGCTTGGGGCACTAAACAGCTGACTGAAGGTGTCTGGTAGTCATCTGTTCACCTGGACTGAAGGTCAGGGTGCACGGTGGCCTGTTGACTGATGCAGCCAAGGCTAGCCAAGTCTAGTCCACGTCCTTCCTGTTTCAGATGCTGCCTCAGCCAAGTTGATCTTCATGACCCTGGGCTGTTGGGGTCACTGTCCCCACTGCCCCTAAAAGATGCCCAGAGACCTTGGCCTGGTCTTGTAGGCCCATGTTGCTACTCAAGCCAGCTCTGGCTCTGTGGTGGGTACAGGCCAAAAGATCTCGAAAGGGACTTTTCATCCAAGCAAGCAGGCGGAGACTAGAGAGGTGTCCCCATAGAACCCCCTGATAGAAACTCCTATGGCCCTCTCTGGCCACCCAGGGGCAGCGCCAACACACAGTGATCCCAAGGGGCACAGCCCAATGCTGTGAGAAGCTGTGGTAGGCCTGGAAACTCATCTAGAGACCAAGCCTGGCCCCACCGCCTCTCTAGGCCTGCTGCTGTTTTACATCAACCTTGTCTCTTTCCCTGAAAAGCGGACATCCCTTAAACCAGAAACTGGATCTCAGGGGCTTCTCATTGGTCACCCTGCAAAGCTTCACCACCCTGCTGGCCCCTTCCCACTTTACCATTCCTCCTTCTCAGGCCTTTGCCCAGCCCCAGGCTGGCTAGAGCTCTGCTAATTGGAAATGGCCTTGACCTATGGGCAGCCGGACCCCTTCCAGGTGCTGGCTCTATTTTTGGTAAATACAGTAGACTTTGGCAACCCATCCAGAGCCCTCATGGCTCACAGATGCCTCTTGCCTTGGTGGCAGGGCAGCCTGGGCTGGTAAGCCCTCCTGTCCACACTGGGGCCAGGTGGATACTCCTGACCTCACTGGCTATCACCTGGCCCTGAATAGACCCAAGTTTGGCCTCTGGGCTTGAGGCATCCATGCAGTAAGAGGCTCCTCTGCCAACACTAGACCCATCACTGGGGCAGCCATGGCCAAGATGGAAAGCCCTTGAAAGCCTTCATCTGTCCTCAGCCCTTTAAAAATGCAACTGTGGGCAGCACATGGGCGATTGAATAGCTCAATTTATTAAAGGTGCACAAGAAGCCAGGTGCCAGATCGACATCGTCCTTCCACCAGACAAATGGCTTTGTGTTTGAGGGGATGGGCGGGGTGGGGGCAGTGACTATTTACATGACTGTTTAACACTGCAGAGACCCAGAGTGGAGAGGGTGACAGCAGGATGGGCTAGACAGACTACTGAGTATGGAAGATGAGGTATATGGGTGGGTGTCATCTGCATCCAGCACCCAGGTGGTGGTCATCATCCAAAAGCCTATGGACCAGGGTTCCAATTTTGGCATGCCTGGAGTCATCACCAGCCTTGGGACACTGGACCTCCCTCCCTTCCTCCCTCCTGGCCCAGTGGCCTCAGGTCCTCTGTTCCCCTGGGGCTGGCCTCGAGGATGCTCCAGAAGGAGACAGGGTCCGGCAGTGTCTGTCAGTGGTTTGGGTTCTAAGACTGGTCCCTCAGCTCTGACCTCTAGTGGACTGTCCTGGCCACTCCTCAAAACTCTCCTGTGTGGATTCTTGCCCGTGTTCCACCCTGGACTGGATGCTCCATGGTTGTGTTCCCTGTGGCTGTGTAGGGGGTGAAGGCAAAAATGGCCACTGAACACGGGGTCTGGCAGGAAGAGGTAACCAGCAAGAGTAAGCCCCTCATGCCAGCCATGGAAGAAACTGTCCAGGGGTGGGGGTGGGTGTGGAGTGGGGATGTTTGATTCTGACTCTGATCTATGAGTAGCACCAGGCACCTCTCCCATCATGGTGGTTGCTCTACTTGCTGAGAGGTAGCTCTGGGAGTTCTCCCTACAGCCCACATGCGGAAACCGAGGCACAGAGTGGCGGGAACATCACTCGGTCTCACAGTGCGTGGTAGGTGGGGTCAGGTCCAGGGCTACACTTACCTTCATCCCTGGCCCCACAGCTGGGCAAACTGGGGGGTTTGGTCTGCCACCATTTCCCACCACCAGGCATTTTGGGGTACAGCTGGGAGGCACAGAGTGGCGGGAACATCACTCGGTCTCACAGTGCGTGGTAGGTGGGGTCAGGTCCAGGGCTACACTTACCTTCATCCCTGGCCCCACAGCTGGGCAAACTGGGGGTTGGTCTGCCACCATTTCCCCACCACCAGGCCATTTTGGGGTACAGCTGGCCTGTAGCAAGTGTGAGCAAGCAAGAGCCCAGTGTCCCCAAATCTCAAGGCAAATATGGGGGTGAGTGTGGGGGGATTGTCCCGAGACCTCTGCTGAATCCTGAGAAGGGCTCTGGCGGGGGGGGGGTCACCTGTATTGAGCTTCATCCTCTTCCCTTCCCTGCTGGTCATCCACGAGCCAGTGCACTCTGACATTCTCCAGCAGCCAGTTTGGCAGTGGAGGTCCCAGGAGTGAGCTGTCAGTGCCACCAGTACTGTCCTTGGAGATTTAGGGGCATGTCATTCTGCTTGTCAGTTCTGGTTAGGTGGAGTCCTTCCAGACAGGCCTTGCACAGTGGGTGTGAGGGATTTGCAGGGTGCCACAGCACTTTCTCTGGGGTTCAGGCTCCGGTCAGTTCTGGAGGGTCCTGTAGTTGAGGTCAGCTATGAAGAGAGCTTAACACCTGCCCACTCCTTGGCCTGTTGTGTCAAGGACTGGAGGAGGAGGGACAGAGGTGCTGTTAGGGGCCTGGGGGTTCCCTTGGAGCAGTTCACGTCCAGCTCTCAAAACTGCTTCCCTTCTCTCAGAAGAGGGACTTAAAATGTATCTGGAACAGCATCTGCCCCTGGAGCAGCTCTTGCAGGCAGCTGTGGCAACAGATACGCTTATAAAAACAGTTTCTGGGAGCCAAGATCCTGCAGGAGACGTAGTTAGCTCTCTCTGCAGGAAGCTGCCCAGAGGTGGGGTGGACCACGCCCCTGGGGCCCGGCGCAGAGGCGGCTGTGGTGCCCCTGCACATACTGGATGGGGAAAGAACATCTAGTGTCCATTCCCTGAGGCTGGCCCCCAGGAAGCCCTGTCTCACAGCCTCACTCTGGCCTTTGGGTGGTTGGGGCAGGATGGGAGTGCCTTGGACCTCCATGAGCTTGTCTGTCTCCCTCCATCCTCTGCATTTGTGGCAGCCCTGGGCCTCACACCTTGACACCAGGCTCCCATTGGGTGCTGGAGGAGGCTCAGCCTTCATTCTCGTGTTTCATGCATCATGAATGAGTGGGACATTGGGAAGGACAAGAGCAGCAGTGCAGCAACTATCAGAGTAGACAGGCTCCCACAAGCTAACTACCTCCCTAGAGCCCTGGGGCTCCTGATGGCCCGTTTTAGGAATGTTCCTGCCTCCGTCCTCGTCCTTTTCCCTTCACCCACCACAGCTGAGAGGCTGGTCCTGACTCCACTGACTCTCAGGACCCACCAAGTTAGCTCCTCCAGGGTGGAGAGGGGAAATCTGACAGTGGCTGGTGACAGGGACAAGGGGCTAGCCAGCTCCCTATGTCTGCACTGCCTGCCTGTCCCTATCTTTCCCCAAGAGGTGCAGAGAGCCAGGGTGATTTGGCGGTTATGTTCTTGCTTGGCAGCAACCAGGGAAGGCTCCCTGTCTGCTCATACACGCCCTGTGCTCCTCCAGCTGGGGCTGAGAATGCAAACAAGCCCTGTAAAGCCCTCATTAACAAATTATCCGAGCGGTAAGTACAGGCTTGATGCTGCACAGCTGACACTGTGGCCCTAGCTGGCAGACACAGGCTCACCACCCTTCCTCAGCCTGTCCCCATCTGCGGAGGGCGCTATCTCCTCCTTGTGGGCTGCTTAGGTATAGGAGCTGATCCAGAGACTGTCCCCACCCTCTTCCTGGGTGTGGTTGGCTCAGCGGGCAGTTCCCTAGCCATCCTGCTTGAGGCCCCAGGGCAAGGCCCGCGGGTTCCCCAGCCCAGCTGGGATGGTGGCAAGGAGGGCTGGGCCGAGGCCCCCTGCGTGTGCTCAGGAGTAGCAGGGACCTGCAGCCCATTTTCTCTGGAGCCCCACGGCGCATAAGCAAGGTCTTGCCCTAAGGAAAGGTTGATGTGAGCTGGGGCAGAAGCTCCGAGGGCCAGGGGCGGGTGGCTCCTGCCCGGCCTACTCGGAGCGTCTACAGAGCAGACCCACCGGGCAGCCGGACTGGTCCACAGGGCCAGAAGAGAATGATCCAGATGGCCGGCCTAGGCTGCTATTCCAGGAGGCTGGCAGGGGCACTGACCAGGACTTTCTCCACCGCCGAGTCTCTGGCAGGTGCAGCAGCTGCCATGGGGCTGGGTACATAGTTGAAGGGCGGAACCCGAGCGGCGCGACTTGGGGAGCCGTGCCGGCTGGCGGGGAAGCCTCCCACGGTAACCCCTACGCCCTCATGAGCAAAGGGAATGGAAACAGCTGCCTTGGCGGAGCCAGGCCCGTCCACGTCGCTACCCAGGAGCGCGGCTGGACCGCCGGCTGTGGCCTGTGGGGACTCCCTGCTCTCCAGGCTTGGAGACGTGCTGGAGTTGGTCTTCGGGGCGGCCACCTCTTCCGTCTGGACCACCGCATCGCTGGTTTTGCGCTGCGGGGACCCGACCGGGCCCTCTTCGGGCGAGGCGCCCCTGAGCGGTAGGGCGGTGGCGGGCAGTGTGCTACGCAGGATGTACGGGACATCCTCGTCCCGGATGCGCCGCCACGTGGTACCCGGCGCGGCTACCCTGGGCAGCTGCCTGGTTTCCCCGTCGCTGCTGCGGCGGGCGGCGTCTGCCGGGGTGGCGGGGGCCGCAGGGTCGGGCCTGCGGGCCACGCTGATGTGCGGCAGTGAAGCGTAGCGCTTCACTGTCTCGGGGCGCGCGGCGGGCGCGCGCACAGGCAGGCGCGACGGGCTCTCGGAGCTGGTACGCCGCGGCGCGCGCGGAGCCGGCCGGGACCGGTCCGCGGGGGGCCGCTGTGGGGCCGGGGGCTGTCGCTGGGCCGCCCGAAGCTCGTCGCAGCGCGAGGAACAGAGGAAGACTGCAGGGAGTGCGGGTCGGCCGCGGCGAGGTGAGGCGCCCTGGGAGGCGGAGGCCGCGGACTCTGCCAAGGACAGCTCGGAGCGGCGGTGACGCAGCAAGCCGGGCGACTCCTTGATGAAGGTCAGCTGCCGCCGGAAACCTGAGCGGTCGGAGGACTCGCTGCCGCTGGAGCGGGCTGAGGCCAAGCGCACCAGGCCCAGACGGCCCCCGCGCGCTCCAGGGCCCCCCTCGACCCCGGCCCGGCTCCTGGGGCTTGGCTCCGGGGCTGACCTGGCCAGCGGCGGTGGCCCCCGCCTGGCCGGCCTCTGCATGAAAGGGATACGCACGGGCGACTTCTGGGTCTTGTGCTGTTTGGCCAGAAGGGCCCGCGCTGGTGTTTTGGGCACTGGGGAGGCCCCGGGGCCAGGCAGGTACCCTGCAGTCGGGGTGGCCAGAGGGGACCTTCTGGGCTGAGGCTGGGAGGCAGGTGATGTCTGAGAGGAGCTCGAGGATGGAGTCTTGGCTAGGCGGGCGGGTGGTGTGGCACTCCTTGGGGCGTGGCTCAGTGCTGCCAACTCCGAGATCTTGCCTGGTCGGTGCAGACTCCGAGACCGTTGCTGCCCAAGGCTAGGAGGTTTGGCGGGGCCTTCCTGGTGTGTGGGACCAGAGGCTCCCATCTTCCTCGGTGTGCTGCGGGAGACAGGGGTACCTTTGGGCTGAGCCCGGGGGCCAGAGCTGGGCATATAGATCACTGTCCGTCCCCGGAGCACCGCTGTCTCCCCTGTTTTCTGAGCACCACCACGCTTCTCAGCACCTCCAGGAGAGCGGGGGCGCCCATTGCTCTTGGCTGAAACTGCACCCCGTTTTCCTGGCCATCGGGCACTGCCAACCTCAGCCCCCACTCGGGGCTCTTGTCCCTTTCTCTGCTTGGAGGGCTGCAGGGTGCTGGCTGACACCCCGGATACCAAGGAGAGGAGAGAGTCAGACTCCGATGAGGCCTCCAGGGTGGCTGCCGCTGCTGCCTGGTGCAGCCATGTGACGATGGAGTTGGCGCCCTCCTGAATGGCTTGCCACTCTACACTGTCCAGGTCAGAGGCTGGGTCTGAGCCTGCCACCTCTTCACATCGTTTCTGGGACACCTCTGTGGGTTGTGTGTCTGGTTGGGCAACTCTGGGCTTGCGACGCCGGGGGCCAGTGCCTGGGGCCGGCGCCTAGGCATGGCTGAGCCAATGCATCGCCTCAACAGCTCTTCTTCTGCTCGTGGGCTAGGGGAACTGTCCTGTTTCCCACCTGGGCCTGGGTCCTTGGTGACTGTTGGCTCCCGGCCTCGTGGACGGCTGGCGGGCTGCTCAGAAGGTTCAGGCTCACTGAGGGAGCTGGCTGAGGAGGTCAGTGAGTAGCAGGGTGGAGTCTCATCCACAATCAGCCTGGGCTGGGCCCTGGTGGGTGGTGGGACAGGTGGTGAGGCCTGGGTGTCCTTCCTGCCTGTGGTCTTGTGCTCTCTCTTCAGGGCCCGGGGAATGGCAGATGCCCGCCGTAGGGGAGGCACTGTGGCAGGTGGCTCCTCATCAGAGTCATAGAAGCAGTACACAGCCTCTTCCGTAGGAGTCGTGAGGCACAGGGACTGTAGTGCTCCGTCCCCTCGGGCCTTGGCCTGGCATGAGCCTTCCCTGTCTGAGCGTGCACTTGGGGACTGGGCGAGGGGCAACTCTAGCCCTGCCCGGTTCCTTCCAGCTCCCCGGGCCTGCTCTGCAGTCTTGACAGCACCCCCTGCCTTGGGCCGGTGTCCAGCAGCCTGCCTGGCAGGGGCTTTGCAGACTATGGGCTTCTGTCTGTCTGTCAGCCCACCAGGCTGATCTCTAGGGGGCCCTTGCAGCGTCTCATCACTGAGTGAGGCTGCACTAGAGAAGTTGACAGGTGTGCCCTCTGCCGAGTCACTGCCAGAGTCGTCGTCCCGGGCTGGGGCGGGCACCAGCATGTAGATGGGCACTGGCAGCGTACGGCGACCAGGTACCAGTGCTGAAGCCACCTTGCGCAGGCGGGCAGGGACAGCAGCCCCTAGACATTCACGCAGAAGCTCCAGCTCCTTGTCAGCCACCTTGCGGGAGCGAGAACCAGTGGCAGCCAGGCCCTCAAGGTGTCCGCCAGCCTCCTCCCGCCGGCGGTGTCCCCCGTTCCCACTCCCAGTGCGTTCTGGGCATGTGGGTGGCTGCAGCCGCAGCTCCACATCCTGTTGTACATACAGCTCATGCAGGGCCAGTGCGCTGAGGCTCGAGGCACAGGAGAAGTTCTCATCTGGCTTCTCCACAGTGAAGCGCACGCTACCTGCATCCAGCTCTGATGGTTGCTGGCAGCGCTCGCGGCAGTCAGCTATGTCCAGGAAACGCTTTACGTAACTCTCCCACTGCAGGCTGAACTGGCTGCTCTCGGGCTGGCCTGGCAGTGCCGGTGGCGTCTTGCTGCGGCTAGGTGGCATGGTCTGCCCAGGGCTGTCAGGCAGCTCACTGGGGCTGACAGTGCCACTGCCCAACCCACTGCATGGGTCACTGGGGATGGAGCTGGCAATGGATGGGCTCTCAAAGCTGCCCAGTGAGCTCACTGAGCTGCAGCGGCTCAGCACCAGGGGTGTTTCCTGCACACAGTTCTCTGATGAGCTGGACGGTGTGGCATCCTCTACCCCTAAACCCCGGCTGCGGCCCCTGTGGGGTGCCGGGATGGCCACTGGCAGGGAGGAGGATCCAGGACCATGCCATGCCTCATCCAGCTCTGTCTCCCCAGGCCCAGCCTCCTCCAGTCCATCTAGAGAAGAGTCACTGTCATCCAAGTTCCCACCCTCGCTGGGACCAGGGTGGCCAGCCGAGGACAGAGAGGACAGAGAGCTGCAGCGGGAGAGGGATAGCAGCCCATCCTGTGCCACCAACTTCTGCAGCACCTTGCTGGCTGCAGGCAGTGGGGTGGCCACCAGCTTCTCGGGTACCTTGTTTAGATTGTCCCCAGGCATCCAGGCCTGTTTCCGGGACCCAGGAGAGGCCCCGGGCCCTGCGAGGGGCCGTGTGCCCAGTGCAGCAGTGCCATCAAGTAGTGGCACATGCTGGTAGGTGGGTGACAGCTTGATGGTGCGCACACAGGCATCCACAGTTGCAGTATCCCGGGAAGGTGGCTCAGTCTGACTACCAGACAAGTCAAGATCAAGCCGGCTGGGCCGTGTCTGCCCACGCAGCAAGTCTTCACGGTGTTCAGTCAGGGCAGCCAAGGGGCAGGGCCGCATGTGCTCCTTTGTGCAGTATCCATCGCTGGTGCTGCCACTGTTGAGGCTGTCATTGGAGAGGCTAGCATGGGCTGCTTTGAGCCGCAGCAGTGGGTGTGCCAGGCCGCTGGCCTCCCGCCGCCCACCCTCTGGGCCCCGGCATGGTGAACAGGACTGGGCACGGCCTTCCCTTGGAGCTTCCTGCCCAGGGTCCCCTGAGCTGAGGCTGAAGCTGTCATCAGATGAGGTGTGCAGGGCAGAGATGTCTTCCACCAGCCGGTCAATCCGTGCCACTGCCAATGCCAGTTTGGCCTTGGCTTTGGCTGCCACGGCTGCCTCCCCACTGGCTTCCTTTTCAGCCTCCAGGCTGCCGTGGTGGGTGGGTGTGGTACGGGCCAGGGCCTGGCCCTGCAGGAAGGGGCTGCCCAGGAACAAGGACAACACAGCTGGGCTGGCAGGCTCTGCAGTGGCAGCGGCAGCCAGGGATGGTGCATCGTCATCATCAAAGCAGCCTGAGTCAGAGGCATAGTCCTGGGCCAGCCCATCCAGGTGCCGCAGGGGTGGCAGCGGCTTCTTGGAGGCAGCTTCAACCTCAGGCTCAGGCAGGCCCTGCTTCTCCAGGTGGCCAAGTGCCTGCGCCAGGTGTCGGGTGTCCAGCTCGGCCTTGAGTGCCCGCTGCTTCCTCACGTAGAGGCTGGGCATGCAGGTGCCAGGGGAGACAGCTGTGGCCGCCGCCTGATACTTGGCGGGTCGGTGGGCTAGCAGGTTGCGCAGGGCGGCCGCACTGCCCATGGCGATCATCTTGTGCTTGGAATGCACCAGGTTACGCAGCATGCCCACGGCTCCCAGGTCCCACAGCAGCTCCTGGTCCTGTGGGCTGCGGGCTGACAAGTTCCAGAGTGTGCCGCAGGCGTTGCTCACTATGGTCAGGCTGTGCGAGGTCAGATGCTGCAGTAGTGTCTGCAGGCAGTTGTGGTCCCGGAGCACCTGCCTGCAGGGGCACAGGGAGGGTGAGCTAGCCACCCCCAGTCCTACCATGCCCCTGCCCACATCCCAGGATGCCACACAAGGAACAGGACATCCAGAGTAAGCAAATAAACATATGAGACATTGGATGAGGTATGAACTTCAGAAACACGAATTGTTTTTAGCGTAAGTATATCCCATGTATTGCATGAGATATACTAAACTTAATTTTTTTTTTTTTTTTTTTGCGCTACTGGAGCTTGAACTCAGGGCCTACACCTTGAGCCACTCCACCAGCCCTTTTTTTGTGAAGGGTTTTTTGAGATAGGGTCTTAAGAACTGTTTGCCTGGGCTGGCTTCTAACTGCGATCCTCCTGATCTCTGCCTCCTGACTAGCTAGGATTATAGGCATGAACCACCGATGCCTGGCTAAACTTAAATTTTGTTTTAAAAAGATATTACTTATTAAGAGTAGTATTTCATATTTTACTTCTCTTAATTGAAAATTTTAGCATGAATATATTCCATGTGATATTTGGGAAATACGCTAAAAATAAGTTTCTCTGTGTTTTTTAAGGGGTGCACCACTCCTGGAAGTACTACAATACCAGATCGATGTGTGGAGTAAGCAGAGCAAAATCCTATTCCATTTTCCTGCTCCAAAAATCTGTTTAATATGTCCTTGGATAGAGGACATATAAGATATTAAAACTGGTAAGAACAGATACTACACCTGATCTTAGCCAAAAGACCGAGAAATAATAATTTTCTATATTTTATGAGAAATTATTAGTATTTGGGGGAGGCAGTACTGGGGTTCTAACTCAGTGCCTTGTTCTTGCTAAGAGGAACTCTGCCACTCAAGCCATACCCCAAGCCCTTTTTGGTTTAGGTATTTTTAGGTAGGGTTTCATGTTTTTGCCCTGATCAGCCTGGAACCTCAATCTACCTGATCTCTGCTTCCAGAGTAGCTGGGATTACAGGTATGGGACACTATACTCAGCCAACAATAAATAATTTAGTATATCCCAAGTGACATTTGGAATATACTTACATTGAATAATTAGTCCCTGGGGACAAATCCTATTCACAAGACAATGTACAGCAGGGTAGGGCCTGTAATTCTCAGCCCCAGACTCTCCCACATATCTCCTTCCCCCCTGCCCTGGCCCTGAAACCTCACTGTGAGGCCTAGGCTGACCTGTAGTCCTCTCGGGTGGCGATGAGGCTGGACACGTTGCGCAGGATGCCACCTCCGCTCTCGATGACTGCCAGGGAGTTGCCTTGGCAGCGATAGGTCAGTGTGCTCACCAGGAAGCCCAGGGCACCGTCCACTTGGCAGATGGCAGCCTTGTTCTCTGTGCTGTGGGCCGACAGGTTCCACAGAGCACTAAGCACGCTTTTCAAGGTGGACTCCTGTATGTGGGTGGGAGGTGTGTCAGCGCCCACACAGGGCCACAGCCTAGCCAGCCCACTGCTCTCTCCAGGCATGCCATAGCTTTTCCAGTACCAGTAAGAACCATAAAAATCAGCTGAACCTAGGACTGAACCTCCTGCTTAGCAAATTCACTTAGTTCCCCCAGGGATGGGGAGCTCACGGCTGCCTGCCTGTGGCCTGTACCGATTGGCTGTGGTAGTTCCCCCTGACCCCCAGCCCTGCCTAGTGCCCACCTTGGAGGCCCGCAGGACGCAGTGCATCAGAGCTGTCATGCTGCCGACCTCCCTCAGCACCTTCTTGCTGTTGATGTCCGCTCTCCACGACAGGTTACGCAGGATGCTGGATACCACCTGGGCAGGTGAGGGCAGCCACAGTGGGCCTAGCACCCTGGCTGAGGCAGCCCTGCACCCCATCAGTCCCTTGACATTGGTGGGCAAGACACACTGGGCAGGGATGCCCATGGTGGGAGGGGGTGAAGACCCTGGCTCCCTCTCACCCCTGGTACCTGGTGAAGTTCTTCACTCTCGGAGGCCAGCTGAGCCACAATTGCCTCCATGCAGCCCCGGCGGGCACACAGCGTGGCCTGTTGAGGGTCACACAAGAAGTCATGGTCATAGCAGGTGGGGCAGAGGGCACAGGGAAACCTCCCCTCCTTCCAGCCTTGAACCCCTAAAGTCTCACTGCCAGTGGGAAGGTAACCCCTTTGATAAGGTGAGGCTAGGGAGGGAGTGGGGCAGGGGGGAGAAATGACCCAAGCATTGTATGCACATATAAATAATGAAACAATAAAAAAGATAAGGTGAGGCTCAGTCAGGTGCAGACACCCAGCTTTCCCAGGGTCCAGAGGTTCCCACTCTTCAATGAAAGCCATCTCCTGGGAGGTAGCAGGGACTGGGTGAGAGGACCCCAGCCTGGCCAAGCAGGTCCAGCAGAGCCCTTCCCCTCCCTGGCTCTCTCTGAGCCTCGGTCTACCTGTCTATAAACTGAGAACACTTGTCCTTGCCTCTCAGGGCCATGTCAAGACTGGGATGAGGTGGAAGGAGGCTCAGAATGTCCCAGGTTAAGATGGCCCCTATCAACCCACCACCCCTGGGCACCTTGTTAGCGACATCCCCGAAGGTGAGATTGGTGAGAGTCATGCCGGCGTAGCGGCGCAGGGCGAGGTTGAGCGGATCCCGGGTCAGTTTGTGCATCTCATAGTCCACCTGAAGTAGCTCTGCCACGGCCTGCAGCCCACCTGTGGGGACCCAGTCAGGCTGCCCACAGCTCAGGCTCCCCACCATACATATTCCCTCCACCCCAACTGCCCTTCGTGAGTTGGGACCAATGCCAAGGACACCACGTCCCTGCTGACAGGCTGGCATGGTCACCTCCTCACTTGCCTCCCTTTAGCTCTCAGGTCAGTACACATTGGCTTTGGCAGTGAGCTGCACCCTTCTTGCCCTGCCCAGCCACACTCCTAGATCCCCAAGAGCCGCTTCCTTCAGTAAGCCTGTGGCTTCCTGTGAAGACCACCCATGTAGGCAGTAAATTAGAAACATCTTAAAAACGTCCCAAGAGGAAGACCAGGCACAGTGGCTCATGCCTGAAATCTCAGCTCCTCAGCAGGCAGACATTGGAAGCATGCGCAAAAAGTTAGAATCATTTCAACAAACAAGCCAGGCATGGTGGCATGCTTCTATAATCCTAGCTGTAGGTAGAAGAATCTGTCTGAGGTAGGCTCCAGGCAAAAATGGGAGATCTTATCCAAAAAACAACTAAAGCAAATAGGGCTGGAAGCGTGACTCAAGTGGTATAGCACCTGGGTAGCAAGCACAAGGCCGAGTTCAACCCCAGTACAGCCAAAGGGGGAAAAAGATAAAAGAAAAAAACACCTCCCAAAATGACATGTGTATGCAGCATTAACTGCAGTCACTAAAAGGTGACTACAAGCCCAAGTGTCCAGGAGGGACAAATGGTCACACACGCGCCACAGTGGAACACTGCTCAGCCACAATGTGGACACAGTGCTCAGTGAGTTTATCAGACACACAGGCCACTCAGTGTGTGATTCCATTGATAGGAAACATCCAGAACAGGAGAATCCAGAGACAGCAAGTGGACACATCAGGGCGGGGGACCAGGGAAATGAGAGTTAGTGTTTAATGGGGACAGAGTTTCAGTTTGGGAAGATGGACGTTCTGGAGACGGTGGGCATGGCTGCACAGTCGTGTGTGTGTGTGTGTGTGTGTGTGTGTGTGTGTGTGTGTGTGTTAATAGAGTTGGACACTCACAAAAGGTTAAATGGTACATTTTATGTTGTGTATATTTATCACAGTATAAAAGATGGAAAAATACATCATTAGAAGTTGAAGGTGGGGGAAGTGTCCAGTGCTGTTTTTTTTTTTTTTTGAGGTACTGGGATTTGAACTTGGGGCCTATACCTTGAGCCACTCCATCGGCCCTTTTCTGTGGTTGTTTTTTTTTTTCAAGATAGGGTTTCATGAACTATTTGCTCAGGCTGGCTTTGAACCATGTCCTCCTAATCTCTGCCTCCTGAGTCGTTAGGATTACAGGCGTGAGCCACCAGTGGTGAGAACCACTCCTGTATAATACAAAAGTAGTATTGTGTGTGTGTGTGTGTGTGTGTGTGTGTGTGTGTGTGTGTGTGTATACTGTTGTACAGAGTAAAAATGCTTAAGGTTGATCAAATGAGACCAAATGAAAACTGAAATTCTCTTTTCCCACTTCATACACTGCCCTGTACTTTTTGCTCTTCTATAGGCTTATCCAGAATGTAAACCATTGCTAATCCCCTACTGCCAGGCACTTACAATATTTCCAGTTTTTGGTATTATTTGAGTTGGTTGTTGCCCCCCAAGCCCCCTCGTTGAACCCAGGATATTGTACATGCTAAGCAGGTGCCCTGCCTCTTGAACTACACCCCCAGTGCCCTTCCTTGTTTTTTTGCACTTCATCAATCCAAACTGGGTGAGGGATGATTGAAAGGATGGACACACTCATCATTTGTCCAGCATGGCCAAATTGCCTCCAAAAAGCTCGCCCCAGTTTGCTCTTAACCTCAGCAGGGGACTGGCAGAGTGGCTCAAGTGGTACAGTGCCTGCCTAGCAAGAGTGAGGCCTGAGTTCAAACCCCAGTACTGCCAAAAAAAAAAATAAATAAATGTCAACCTCAGTAGGGGCTGTGAAGCACCTTTTCTGTCCAGCCTGGCCGAGGAAAGACTTTATAACCACTTAGGTGTTTGGCCCCTCCACCAGGTGTAACACAGCTTCTCACTTTGTAAAGTAGACGATATGGCTGTGAAGGCTGATGGGATCCAGGCCTTTGGCATTTCCTGTTCATATTTCCGTTATTTAGTTATGTACTTAGTGCTGCTGGTGATGAATTCAGGTCTTAGAACATTCTAGGCAAGCACTCCACCACTAAGCCATCCCCCAACCTCTTGACTATTATAGAGAAGACATCCTAATGTCCCCAAAGCTAAAATTCCACAGGGTCACCCTCCTGCCCATGGGCTGCCATACACATACATTGTCTAAATCTACCTGCTGGCTCCAATTCTGTGCACTGAGTTGGACCTGTTCTTTTACCTTTGCCTTTTTCTTAACTATCTACTACTCTGTCCTCGGCCTTGGGACAGTTCCTGCTGAAAGCTTGCTCCTTGCAAAATGAGGTCCAGAAGCCAAATGGGGAGGGCATTATAGCAGGGTGTGGCTCATGGTGACACAAGGCCCAAGATTATTGTTCACTCACAACAGGAGTTGTGTGACCCCGAGGAAGCTCTTTCCCTTTCTGGGTCTCAAGTGAACAAACGCAGATAACACAGCCTCTGACCCATAGCAGCCAAAGGGGTCAATGTCTACAGCTGTGCAAGGGGCAGAGAGGGAATCCCCACCCCAGAGGAGTGGGATACTCACCTAGCTCATTCATAGCTCGGCGGTACTCCTCATCAAAGGACAGCTTCATCACTGCACAGGTGGCTTGGCAGATCTGAGGCTCAATGGGGACAGGGGCTGTGGGCAAGAGGACTGGGTCAGAGTCCCACTCCTAGGGAAAGATCCCGAGTGACCCCTCAAGCTCCCTACCCCTGCCATCTCCACTGTGCATTGGGCACTTCCAAAGCAGTAGCTTCCTCTCCCACCCTCTCTCCAATGCAATACAGAGGCTGTCTGCTCACCAGGCCTTGGGAAGGGCAAGCAGGGAAACCTGCCCCCTTCTAGTGCTTTCTGCCCTATATTAACTTTGCAATCAGCTGCAGAAAACAGGAATATCAAGTTTGTGCCCAATTTTCCTGTGTTACCCATGGCATCTGTTCAACACTCAGTAACTCTTCACCATTTATCCTGCCCCAAGTACAGGCAGGCTGACCTGTGGGTATTCCTTTGCCACGCTGTCATAGGCCAGGGCATGGCACAGAGAAGGTCCAAGGCCATGATGCTGCTGCCCTGTCACAGGGGCACCCAGGCTGTGCACCCATTGCACATAGGTGTCCTGCACACCCTGCACACTCACCTCCGCCTGTGCCCCCTCCCTCAGGCCCACTGTCCCGCGCCTGCAGCCAGTCCCAGCAGGTCTCGCAGTAGGCCCGGATCTGCTCCAGCACGTGCAGGACACGCATCTCCTTGCGTGCCAGGCCCTGGTCAGGCTGGGAGAAGACAATGTTGTGCAGTGCTGCATTGGCACGCATGCGAGCGTCCTTGGCACCAGGTGCCCCAGGAGACCCCGCGCGACCTCCAGCCTCAGTGCCATGGAGAATCTGTAGTAGCAGCGGCAGGCAGCCTGAGCGGCGCATGGCCACACAGCTCTCAGGTGAGCTGGACATGGCCAGAAGCGTGCGTGCTGTGTCCTCCTGGTCTCGCGTCGCCAGCATGGACAGCAACCAGAAGACCACCTCCACCTATGGGAGGCAGAGGGTGAGAACACCCTTCTGGGCCAGGGGGCTCCACCCTGCACACCTGGAGATTTCCCCCCCAACTGGGTTGGAGTCCTAGGATTTCCAGCCCAAGGGAATTTGACTTGCTCGCCCCACCCTTAGGGCAGCCACATGCACACCTGGGGTGTGGGCAAGGGGCACTGAGACACATGAACATTATGGAGCTGCTCCCCAGCCCATGAGGGCCAACTGCTCACCCCAGCGGTCTTGCAGGGCAATCCTACAGGTGGTCACCACATTCAGAGGCTAGACAACTTCTAGAGAGATCCCTACAAAGATGGCCTTGGGGCCCATCTGGCCAGACCCCAGCCCATGTGCTGGCCCCAGCCTCATGGCCAGCCTCACAGCCAGCCCCACTCCACTCCAGAGCCACCCTCCCGTACAGGGTGGTGGGGCAGGAGGGGAAGATGGAGAGACAGGGCTCCACGTGTGACAGGAATGCTGGATTTGCCTCACCCCAACCCCATCAGCTGCCCATCCTCCAATTTCTCCCCCCTTCACCTTGCTATTGCCAGGCTGAGGGTTGCCATCCTCAGGATGTGCGGGGATCTCTGCCTCTGGATCCTCCTCCACCGACACTGGCTTCACTGCCAGTAGGGCCTTCAAGAAGAGCACAGGCCTGGGGGTTCAGTCTGTGTGCACTCCACAAAGTGCCTACGTTGTTGAGGCCATCTGCTCCCCCAGGATCCGTTCCTGTGCCCTGGGCAAGGCTGAGGGTCCCCACCCTGGAGCGCCATCACCACTCTGGGGCATGACTCTGACCCTCCTGGTACCTGGGGCTCGGTCTGCTGCACCCGGTCCTGAGCTTCCAGCAGCTCCTTGTCAATCTGCTCCAGGCGTGACGCGCGGATCTGTGAGCAGGAGGAAGAGGTGGGACCTTGCAGGCTGGGGCTGACCCTGGCTACTCCCCCACCCACAACTCCACTCTGACTCTGCCTTCTCCCTGGTATGAGCCAGTCCTGCCGCTGGTTCCACCTTCTTCCTGTGACTCCTCCTCCTGAGCCAGACACTGCATTCATATGTCCCTACCCTCGGATTCAGCCACTGGCCAGTGACTCCTCCCGTTAACACAGGCCCTACCGACAATAAACATCCAACCCCTCATGTGCCCACCCTCGTGCTGCCAGCAGGTGTCACACCTGTGCACGCTGCACCATCTCATCAGAGGTTCCAAACCGCTCCTCCATCAATGAGCGGATGTGCTGGGCCTCAAACTCCAGCTGCTGCCGGATCAGGTCCATCTGCATCGAAAACTGCTGGGAAGGGTGTCAGGCTGCGGTGAGAGGCTCCCTGGCCAGGGCCCTCCCTGCTGCTCCCCTGCCCTGTGCTGGGCAGATACCCCAGCCTGCTCACCGTCTCCACATGTGGCAGTTCGTCCAGGCGTTTGGACAGGCCCTGCAACTGGGAGTAATACCAGAGCTTCTCCTTCTCCTTCCTTCTCAATTTCATTCAATAGGAAACACCTGGAGGGAAGAGGTTAGTCGGGGTTGGTTGGCAGGGAGGACAGCCTCTGTATACATAGTGTTTGTTTTCATTGTATAACAATCACTTGTCTGGCGCTTACTGTATGCCAAGATTAACAGGCATCATGGCAGGGTCTCCCCGACAGCACGGGGGTGGGGGTGGGAGCTGGAATTAACTACATGAGATGCAGAAGGCTAATTGAAAGGAAAGAAAACAATCCCCTTGTAAAATCTGGTCCTTGGAGAAAGACTGAGGGGTTGAGTAGACGCCTAACACCTCTTCAGTGCTTGCTGATCTCCCTCCAGTTTACATGGATCAGATTTCAGGTTCAGAGTGCCCCAGGTGACCTCTCACAACACTATAATCTCAGCTCTTGAAGAATGGGGAGGATTGTGAGTTTGAGGCCAGCATGGGTACCCAGAGGCACATAGCCAACCCCTGACTCAAGAAAGCAAGGGCCGGGAACTTAGCTCAAGTGGTAGAGTGTCTGCCTAGCAAGTAGAAGGCCCTGAGTTCAAATCCCAGTAAAATAAAAGTATTTTGAACTAGGGGTTTGGCTCAGTGAAAGAGTGCTTGACTAGGATGAGAGAGGCCCTGGGTTCAATCCCCACCACAGCAAGAAAAAAATATGTTTCATTGTTGGGAGCCACAGTTTGTGGCTGTCATCCCAGTTACATGGGGAAGCACAAATAGGAGAACTGCTGTCCAGGCCAGCCTAGACATAAAACAAGACCCTAATCTCAAAACAACCAATGCAAAAAAAGGGCTGGCAGAGTGACTCAAGCGGTAGAGCACTTGCCTAGCAAGTACAAGGCCCTGAGTTCAACTCCCCCAGTGCCGTGAAAAGGAAAAGAAAAGAAAAATATCCTATTTTAGAGCAAGTCTGAGGCTGGGAGATCTTAGAGGACTTGACTTAGGTCATACAGAAGAACACAGACTTAATTCCAGGCTGCTCTTGAATTACATCTGACTTCACCCAACCCAGCGGGGCTGAGCTGGGTCCAGACCCTTGCTTCCTTCTGCTGGACTTGGGCCCAGATTTCTTGAGCTGCATCCCTCTTTCTACAAAGGCTGCCTTGAGCCTCTTTGGCTCGAGGGCTGATTCTGAGCTCTGGCATTGGACACGGCCCTGTCCCTAGCGACGCCTGCCTGTCGAGGACCCCTGGGGACATCTCCCTGGAGCCTATCCCTCTGCCAGGAATACCCCCATCCTCTTTGTCCTCCAGCTGAGGTCAGCAGGGCTGGAAGAGGTGGCGGAGGAGCCCCATCGAGGAGTTAGGCAAAATCAGTGCGGAGGTGGGTGTGGCTGAGTTGGCAGGCGGGGCCTTGTGCCGGCGGGCCTATCAGAAGGCAGAGACGGCTGTGGGCAGAGTTACTTGGCAGGCCTGGGTCGCTTTCCCACGCCCTCTCACCGTTCGCGGTCCAGTTCCTCCAGCAGTCTGATGGTGGCTCGGCTCAGCTCCCCAAAGCTGTCCTTAGAGGGCCCGGAGCCATGGACTGGGCTTTCCTGGGGGGTCCGGGCAGCGGGCTCCGGGCCCAGGGCGGGCGGCTGGAACTTGAGGTTGTACAGGCTGCTGATGTCCATCTGAAGAGCTGGATAAGTGAGAGGGTGAAGGTCAACGCTCTGACTGCCCCTACCCCGCCCAGCTCCCTCTGGGGTGGTCCCCGCTGGCCCCTCACCTTTCAGCTGCTCCAGCACTTCCGTCTGCCCAGAGGATACCAGGACACGGGCCTCCTGCTCCAGCTTGCCCTGTAGGTGCTTCAGGACCTCCTGCAGCAGGACAGGAAACAGAATCTTGGGCATCACACGGCCTGGAGCCACCCACCCAGGTCAGATGCCCAGGTCTCTGCCTGCCCTCCTCTGGGGTTCGGCACCTTGTCACTTGTCCCTGTTACCCAGCCCATGTCCTCCATCCAGCCCCCACCTTCATGCCCGAGGTCTCTGTTTCCAGCTTGGACAGGTGGCTCGAGTTGTCTCGAAGCTCTTGCCTCAGGTGACTGTTCTCAGCCTTCAAGGCCTCCACCTGCCGCACCAGCTGCTCGTAGGATGCCACCGAGCTCATCATCTTCAGCTCCTGCAGTGCCTGGGGCCACAGGATCACTGGGGTCAGCCCAATATCTGGGAGGGGGTGGCCGATGGATGCCTTGCAGACAGTCCCACCCTAAGCCTCAGCCCTCCCACCCATCCTAGGGATGGATCCCAGTCAGGAGCGGCTGGCGTGGACCCCCAAAGACAGGGCCCAGGGAATGCAGGGACAGACGGTGAGGCAGATGGAGCGACAGACATACATAGTGGCAATGGGAGACAGAGGGGCAGGGTTGTTGGATGGATGTTCTGACACAAAACACCTAACTGACCAACAGACAATTAGGCCTGCCCCTCCCTGCCAGGCTCCTGGACACTCATGTGACAGCCAGGCAAAGGGACAGATGGATATCTGTGAGCCTGACAGTCTAAACCAGCAGATGAACTGACCAACCCTAGGTACCAGGCCCACAAAGTTACAGCCAGGGAAAGCAACAGACAGACAGACAGGACTCATCCTCTCAGAAGTACAGTCTGCCCAGAAGCTGAAGACCAGAGAAGCCAGGTGGACAGATCACTAGCTGGCCCAGCTGACAGACAATAATAACACCATGAAGGCTAACAAAGCCTAAAGAAGCCATTCATAGGCAGGTGACAGGAGCACCTATGACAGCTAGACAGATTGATCTGAGCCTGATCATCAACCCCAGAGGTCTGGGACCAGGGCCCCCTGTAGTCCTAACTCCCATCCATATCTACAGTCACCACCTTCACAGTCCAGCACCCAGCACTCTCTGGTCAGCCCTTGGCCAGCCCCCACCAGCCCCAGTGCCCCTTTCCCACCCCCCTCCACTCTGCCACGGCTGCCTGCTTCTTTGTGCCTTTAGCTCTTTTCTTGATTGGGTCCAACCTCCTCCCTCTGTCCAGCTGGCTGGTACCTCCTCCCTCAGCTTGGCCCTCTTGCCAGGGCCATCCCAATCCCCCCAATGATCCCAGTCCCTCTTTGTTTCCTTCTCAACGGTGCACGCCCCCTCCCTCCGCCTTTGTCTGAGGCCCACCAATGGCAACTGCCATCTCCTTCCTGGGAGCTCCCTCCCCCTGCCAGCCTGAGCCCCTTCCCCAAATCAGTCCTGCCTATGGGAGGACACTTGCTCCTTCCCTTCCCTCCCCAACCTGGTCATGCACATCCATTCACTTGCTCACTCATTCTCTCCTCCACCCCCCAGAGGTCTCCCATCCACCCTGATGTCACCAAGAGCACAAGGCGGGGTGAGGAGTTCAGTTCCAGGTGGGGGAATGGGACCAAGCCATCCTAAGCTTCTCAGAGAGCCTCCTGGGTGCTTGGCTGTGTCCTCTGGCTTCTTCCTCATCACAGTCCTAAGTCTCTGGGACCATCATTAGGTTGTTTCCAAGGGGAGAAACTGAAGCCCAGGGGGAAAAGATTCAGTGACGAAGTGGGCTGGAGTCAGTGGAACCCAAACCCTGTCTCAAAGGAACTCAGCAGTGCCTCTGTTTGCCCATCTGAGGAACGGGAAGAGCCTGCCTGCTTTCTGGTCTCAAACGGCTGATAGGAGTGTTAGGTGGGAAGGTCCCAGGTTAGTGATGGATGTATAATGGAAGACAGTCTGCCAGGAAGGGAGGCTGGGAGGCTGGGAACCACATACTTCACCCCAATAATAATCAGGATCTCAGCTGGGGTCAGAGCTGGGGTCCAGCCCTGTGTGTGGGCTGAGGCCACCCCCATTATGCCAGCCAGAGAGAAACAGATGAAGCCAAGCCCCACACATACCCCTCCCTCTGTACACATCTAGACCACCTGGAACCCTACCAGGGATAGCTACATGCTTCCCTGCAGCTGGCCTAAGTGACTCTTCAAGTGAACCAGGTGAAGCATCCAACATCTTCTCTCCCCACATTTGGTGGTCATGCCTGTGTCCTCACCAAACTGAGCATGGGCAGAAGGATTCTCTCAAACTCCAGTCTGGTGTCTGCAACTCTGCCCCTGACGGTACACTGCCACCAGCCCCTCCAAGCTGGGCCCAGCTGTACCCTCCTTCTGAATCCCTAACACCACTCTCTCTGGAGGCACTCTTACCATCCTCTTCCTGGATCCACTCCTCCTCAACAGGCAGAAAGAGCTTTCAAAACCACAAATCATATCCCTTCTGTGCTCAGATATCTCCCATGGCTCCCCAGTGCCATGCCCGTAAGACCAATTCTGCCACATACAACTGGCTGCTGTCTTCCCTCAGGCTCTTGCTCATGCAAGTCCCCTGCTTAGAGCATTTTTCCTGACTACTGCCATCCTACATACTACAATGTCCTCCAGGAAGCCCTCCTGCCTGCCCCTCACCACAGGTTGCATCATTTGACTTCCTGAAGGCCTCCCGAAGGGTCAGCACTAATACCTGGGTTGGGTGTGATTGAGTGGAAGTGGCCAAATTCATGGGAGGGTGGCACTGGTATGGAAAGTCAAGCCCAAAAAGGCCCATCTCCTGTCCCCTTCTCCTTTACAGAGAGGGAAACTGACGCCAGATAGGTTGCAGCACCACCCCCAGGGCACACATCAACCTACCCACAGAATCCCCCATCACTTGCCTCCCTTTTTCTCCAGGAAATCTAGGTATTGAAGCCTGTGAATGGGTGTGTGCCCAGGACCAGTGACAGGACACCCACCTCAATGGGACTCAGTTTCTCTTCCAGCTCCCACTCTGGAGTTAAAAGGTTTGAGTCTAAGCTAAAGGGTGAGTCACAGAAAAGGGGATGGAGACGTCCAAGCGATGCCGGGGCCTCACCCCCTGCTCTTTAACCCAAGGAACACATACCGGCTTACTTGCAGCTGGGCTGGCTGGGATGCCCAGGTCTAAGGCCTTTTACCTCTGCTCAGCTCCGCGGGCCCCGCCTGATTCCCTGCCAGGGATGGGCCGCGGGGCCCGGGGTCTTGGCGGCACAGGCAGGGGACTCTAGAGCGGACAAAGCCTGATCCAGGCCTGGCCAGGCGGCGCAGCAGCTCCCAGCGCTGGGCGAGACCACCGCGAGCGGGGGAGGATGCGGGATGCAGGCGCGATGGCCAATGGCAGCGCGGGAAGAAGGGCTGGTGCTATGGCAACAGCCAATGGCTGCCTGGGGCGGGGACTGGCTGTGACTGTGGGGCGTAGGGCCTCGACTCCAGCTCAGGGGCTGCGTGCGTGTAGGGGGAAAGGGGGTGGCGAACACCTCCAAAGGGACGTGTGTGTTCCAAGGACCTGGACCCCATGTTCCCTGCCTCATCGCAGGGTAAAAAGGTCTCTGAACCTCCCTCTCCTGCATCCTCAGATCTTGAGTAAAACACCAAATCTTGGATATTACATCAGAACCTTGATGGAGGGGGAGTTTCCCGGGGCAGGCCAGCCACCTCTCCCACGGATCCAGGCTGGGCTGGATGTGTTACAGCAGGATCGGACTGGGGGATCCAGGTTGGAATTCCCCCAGGGTCATGGCTGTCATGAATGTGGTGTTAAGAATGGGCAAACAAGCCAAGGAACACCTGGGGACCCTTCCCCATTTCTCCCTGTCTCTTCAGCAGAGCATCAGGGCCTCGACCTATTTTGTGTGACTGTCCTTCCTTGGGTCTGTCTTCCCCTCAGTCTGTCTCACAATCTCTGTCCCCCTCTCTCCACCCTTCCTCCCACACTTAATTCACCCTAGCAAAAGGGGAGCCAGAGGAGGAAGGGACCAGGTGTCCTAAGAGTCTGTCATTAGTAGTCCCTGGAGGCTATCTAAAGGTTTAACACCCAAAACTGGAACCTGCAGCTTCAGCGCAGTCCCTTCCAGCTGTCAGCAGTGCTCACAGGATGAAGATGACGTGGTCAGTGCCAGAACATGTGGGTCTGGGGCCTGCCTCTGTCTTTTCACTGGTTGAGGGCCCAGGGAAAATCACTGGTCTCTAGCCCCTCTGTAAATGAGGAGGAGTTGCAGCGGATGACAGGCCTTGCAGGGAAGGTCTGAGCACTGGGAAACTGAGGCACCAGTGGAACCATACTGTTTCCTGTTTGGTCTGAAGTTCCTGGTGCCTCACGTGGGCCAGCAATGCCAGAGGCCAGGAGGACTCTGTCTCAGAAGTCAGGGAGCCTCCAGAGCTAGACACAGCTGTACCAGCTTTTGGGGAGGGCATGCAATGGGCAGAGGGGCTCTTCCTGCAGGCAAACAGCTGCCCTGAGAAGGAGAAATGATGCAAAAGTCTGCTGGGGAACCCGGAGGGGAAAGGGTTTCAGGCTAAGGGCAAATTAGTGTTCAATCAGGGAATGGCAGGTGTCAGGTAGAGCCATGAGGTAGAGGGATGGTAGAGCTTGACCAGGACAAGCCATGAAGGACCCCTGTAAGCCTGGGGTCTTACAGGGTACCCAGAGCCCAGGGCAGAACAGGCAAGACTGGAATTGGATGGGATACAGAGCCAGGACACTGGCTGCAATTCCACCTTCATCTCCCTCTTGAACTTGGGCATGTCTCTCTCTGGTCTCAGTTTCCAGTTAGTTCCCTGGAACTAAACTCGGGGGGGGGAAGGGGGGCATGAGTTGGATAATCAAGCCTCTGAAATGGAACTAAGCCCTATTTTCCCTGTTTAGTCTCAGATGCCATAGCCTCTCAAGTCCCTCTCAGTCACAGGCGGGGGGTGGGGGGGTGGAATTTCAATAGCCAGTCCCATCCTGGTACACATGGGGAAACTGAGGCTTGGGTCAGAAAGCACAGTGCTGGAGTTTATGCATGAGTCCCAGCCAGACCTCAAGAGCAGCACAGGGCCTCTCTCCCCCCCTCACCCCCTCTGAATGTGGAAAATTGAGGGTCCTCAGGCTGAGAGAGTTATAGGGACTGGAAACCCAAGGGAAGATGCTCTTGGTCCCAAACTGTTAGAACATTCCTGACAAATACCCCTAAGCCCTTGATGCTGTAGATTCTTGAGCAACAGCCAGACATGGGCATCACTGGACACTTTAGAGCCCCAGGCGCCTTGGGAACGCCTACAGTCCCCAAGGACCCAAGGTACAAACTCCAGTCCGAGGAGAAGACCCCCCCACCACCACCACATTGCACAGGCTCTGGGATCCTTCACATCCCCATGGTTGTTGGATCGAGGGGAAGTTCCATCCACTTAGCTGGCTTCTCCACACCCCACATCGGTGCCCCTACTCCAGCCCTAGAGACTGCAGAGGTCACTCTTAGAGTGTCACTGGGCCTCCTGCACCTGACCTCAGGCTGTCCCTGTTCCCTTTGTGCCCCGCCCACCTCTAGAACCTTTTCTATGCTAGGGACTGGAGGTGGAAACAGGGACAGCCCCCATTGGGTGTGAGTAGGGGGCAAAGGGAGGCTCAGAGACGCCAGGTTATCACACCGAGCACAGGAACGACTATGGGGAGAGAGGGACTGTCCTTGGAGGGGGGCAAGTGGGCCCATCTGCGCCCTGAGGCATGACTATAGTGGTGGGCCTCAGTCAGCACCGCGGACAGCTCCGGAGAAACATCCCCACCTACCCACCCCACCCCGCCCCCACCGCCCCGGGGCCATGCCCTCTGTGAAAGTAGGTCCCCCTTACAACGCTCAAACTCCGGCCTGGCTCGAGTCGTGTGACCTTGGGTTCCTCGCGGCACCCCAACCTCAGTTTCCCCTTAAATGGGAGATGTTATACCGCAGGACTCAAAAGATCACGGAAGCTGGGGAAGCGCTCACGCCCGGTGTGATGGCTATTATGCATGTCAGCCTTGGAACAGGGTACTAGCTTGGTGTCCAGAGAGAGAAACTGAAGACTAGAGAGGTATAGGGCGTGGTCAAACTCCCCCCGCCACACGCACTGTGCGCGGGGCAAAGCCTCTGCAAAGCGCGCCGGGTCGCAGCCCCCTACGCCTCAAGAGACCGGCCTCGGCGTGCACGCAGTGGGGAGGGGTCCGAGGGTCTTTCTCAGAGGCCAGGGGTTGGGCTGGCAAGACCTGCGCCTGCGCAGACCTGGGAGGAGGGGGTTCTCGTTGCGGCGTAGGGAAGGGGTTCTTGTTGCGGCGTAGGGAAGGGGCCCCCAGCCCGACGTTAGCACCCGTGGCAGTTTCCCGAACAACCGTTTCCAAGGCGACTGCCCAAGACCCCCGACCCGTCAGTCTCCATGAACCCCTGCCCCCGGGGCCGCCGTTCCCGCAGTCTGTACCCCACCCTGGTGGCGCCCGGGACCGGACCCTTCTTCCCGGCCAGAACCCCAGTTCCTCACCTGGTCCCCGAAAAAGGCTGAGTGCAGCAGGCTTAGAAGCCCCAGAAGACCCATGGAGCCACGGCCTTCTCGGACAGCACGCGCCCCGCCCCTCGGCCCGCAGGAGAGGGGGTGGGGGCCTGGCGCCTTGCGCCTGCGCGAAGGAGGCGGGAGGGGTCACTTGGCGAGGACAGGGAGGGGCTCCTGTCGGGAGGGCAAAGGAGGGGGTCTTGGGGACCTCGCTCGGGCCGGGTGGCGCGAGTGAAAGATGAAAGGACGGAGACCCGCGTGGGAAGACAGGGGCAAGGATCCGATGGGCTCGGAGGACCTTACAGTTGGGAGTCCACAGTGGGCAGAAGGGTACCACCGAGGATGGGGGCCCAGAGAGGTTTGGTGTCGCCCCACGGCGAGTTTGAGTCTGGGAGAGGCAGAGAGGCCTGCGGTCCTGCCGCCGCGGTTGTCTGTGCGCGTGGATGCCCACTGGGCAGAAGCTTAGGCACCGTATGAATCCGCCCATGCCCAAGCGGGCGCTCAAGTTCATTAGTCATTCAGCAAACATTTGCTGCATTCCAAGTGTGTCAGGCTCGAAGCCGGTCTCTGGACATGGAGGATAGGGGTCATGCTGCGCGGTAAACATTCAGCGAGTCATCTGAACGTTTATCAAGCACTTACTGTGTGCCGACCCCTGTACAATGAGCAAAACAATCAAGACAGAAAAGTGGCAATGAGAGGACTACTTTGGCGGGTGGCCAGCGCCAAGCAGCAGGGCGGGGAAGGGAGCGCAGAGGGAGCTGCTGAGAAAGGCAGTTAAATAGTGGTGTTGGGGGAAATGTTCAGCGGCACACTGGAGCCACGCGGAGGACTTGGGCTTTTTATACACGGGAGGTGGGAGCCATGGAGGGCTATGGATAGAACAGGGACCCTAGCCCCACTGCGTGTGCTCAAAGGTGCCTCTTAGCAGCTGCTTGGAGAACAGGGCAGAGACCAGGGTTGGATGCTGGGGACCTATGACAGGAAGGATGATTGGAGGAATGAGGAGGGTGGATGATGGAGATGAATACTGGGGCAGGAAGATTGGGGCCATGGAGGGGGTGTCACTCTGACCAGTGTTAAATCCTAAGAAAGCAAAGAACATGCAGTCAGACAAGAAAGGGGGAGGGCACTACCTCAGCAGGGACACCAAGGACAGGTCTCTGCAGCAGTGCTAGAAACTGAACCATGAAGAAATGGATGAACCCATCAGCAAAAGGGCACTTCTGACAGAGGACACAAACCATGTGAACGCCAGGAGGGCTACGCGCTGGTGGCTTACACCTGTAAATCCTACCTACTCAGGAGGCAGAGGTCAGAAGGATCTCGGTTCCAAGCCGACCACGGCAAATAGTTGAGACCCTATCTTGAAAAACCCTTCACAAAAACAGAGGGGGAGGAGAGAAGGGAGGGAAAAAAAAAAAAAAAAAAAAAAAGCCTGGGAGGGAGGGCTGGCAGTGACTGGAGTGGTAGAACACCTATCTAGCAAGCATGAGGCCCTGAGTTTAAACCCCAGTACCACCAAAAATACAAAAGGCTGGGAGGGAGCAAGCAGCCGTCCTAGGCTATACAGGACTCAGGTGCTTAGAGAATTCAGGGGCTGAACTCGTTCTGAACTGATGCCCAGGTGGGAGCACTGGATGTGGACAGCTGGCAGGGATGAATCAATGTTAGGAATGGGACCTGAAGGTTTGGGGGCTAGAGTCCAAAGGAGCCAGATTCAATTACCCCTTTGTAATTAACCAAGCCTCCTTCCTGCCCCTCCCCAGAAATGCTCCTGGTATCCTTCGAAGGTTGGCACAAGCTGATCCCAGGACATCACATTCCCAGTAGTGGTGCTGGGGATGGAACCCAGGGTCTATGACACGCTAGGCAAGGGCTCTACCACTGAGCCACAGACAGGCCTTTGATGGGCCTCATTTGGAACCTGGCACACACAACCACACCGCACCCCAACACAATGTCTTTTTGCTTCTATTGGCATCAGACCCAGGGGACTTGTGGTGACCAGCTAGAAAGGTCCCAGGGAAGCGAGGCAGGTGACGCTCACCCTGGAAGATCTGTATAGATACTAAATCCAACTTCTGCAGTGTAGGGGGCTGTGCACTCTGCTGCAGATGTATGGTAGAGCAAAGCACCATAGACACAAAAAGGAGTGTGTACATGTGCACATGCTGGGCACTGGTGGCTCACATCTGTAATCCTAGCTACTTGGAAAGTTGAGAAGAGGATTATGACTACAGGCCAGGGCCAGCCCAGGAAAATAGTTCGTAAGACCCCATCTCTAAAAAATAACCAGACCAAAATGGACTGGAGGTGTAAAGAGCACCTACTTTATAAGTGTAAAACCCCAAGTTCAAACCCCAGTCTCATGAAACACACAAAAACCCCACAAATGAGTGCACAAGCTATGCCAGCAAAATTTGCTTGCAAAAGCAGGCAGTAGGGAAGCTTGAATGGAGACACACCCCAGGGGAAGCTTCAGCCTTCCCTCCACCAACACCAGGGACTGGCCCTTGAATTTCATTCTACCATGGACCTGTCTCAAAATCACCTGTTTACATGGTGCCTTTTGCTCCTGCAAGTGGTCTAAGTAGCTCAAAATCTCTGGCTATGTTTTACTTACTTTGGCTTTTTTTTTTTTTTTTTTTTTCCTTTGTGGCACAAGGGTTTGAACTCAGTCTCATGCTTGCTAGGCAGGCACTCTCCTCTTGAGCCACTCTGCCAGTCCTTGTGATCAGCTTTTTGGGATAGGGTCTTGCAAACTATTTGCACCAGGCTGGCTCCCACCATGATCCTTCTGACCTCTGCTTTGAGTAGCTAGGATTACAGGCCTGAGTCACCCTCGACTGGTTATTTTGGCTTTCTGGGTCTAACTATGTAGCCCAGGCTAACCTTAAATTCCTCCTCTGCCTGAGTGCTGAGATTATAGGTATGAAGCTCAGTGCTAGAGTGCTTGTCATTCCTAGCACCACAAAAACTCAGTCCTTACCTACAAAAGACCTCCCCTGCCTTTTGCAGTATTTCTGACGTGAAATACTGCTGTTTCTAAAACCTCAGCCATTCCATTTTAAATTCTAAGGACAACCTAGATTAAAACAAGCCCTCCATACCCTCTTTCCTCCTCCCTTTCTTCTCGCTATCAAAGCAGCTGTGCCTTTCCAGGGCTTCTCCTGACCATGTCTTGCCCTGCCTAGTCACACTGTAGCTCCCACAACTCTTCATAGTTGGCTGGAGCCCACAAAAACATGTTCAAATCACCAGGCTGCAGGTCAGTGCCCTCCATCATTTACTTGCCCACATTCTGTGCCAGTTGCTTGGGTTTACAAATGCCACAGCTCATCCATATCCACACCACTACAGGCAATCTTTCCTTCACTACATTTTTTCCCAGCCAGAAATCTTGTCCTTTAATCCTATTTGATTTCATCCACCAGCAGCAAATGAAGGTGATACATCAGAACCCAGAGATGGTTGGCTGCCACTGAAAGGGCCCCTCCACACCTACCTCATCACACACCTGGCTGCATCTCCCCAACCCCCATGCCCCCCATTTTAGGTCTGCAGGACCAAGGTGCAGGCCTGGCCACCTGCACCACTCAGATGAACCTTCAGTTGGTATCAAGGCCAGTATTTTTCCCTTTCCCACTTGCTTAGATTAAAAATTGGGTGTCATCAATTTTCTCCACTAAATGCTGCCTGGACAGTGCCACCCATCCAGAGGCACCCCCAATTTTGTCTTATCCCCCCTACACAGCATCCCATGCACCTATGCCTTTCCCTTAGAGGAGGTATCTCATCATGAACACAAAGGAGAACATAGCTAGAAACCAACAGGGATGGTGTGACTCAACACACTGGACACCAAGAGATACCATGTAAAAGAGCACCCTGAGGACTCTGGGAGGCTGGGGTCACAAAAGTCTTCCTCCCATTACTACAGCAACCCCAATTGGAGGTCCTAGGGCCAGTGGAGAGCACTGTGCCTAGAAGGTGCCACCTCTAGGTGAGTTGGGAACATCCAAAAAGCACCAGAGGGCTTGTGGCTGACTGTGGCAGAAGTGTAAGGGCAGGCAAGTTTGACCAGGGTGATGTGGCTGTAAGGCACCAAGGCAAGAAACCAAAGAGTGCTCACTGCCTAGCACTCACCATGTCTTGTGCCTGACCTCAGCCCGAGCACACTACGGACCAGGGATGACAAGGACACCTCCTCCCTCCACACACACACACAGGCACCAAGGAAGCACTCAGGGACAGAGACACATGTGCCTTTTATTGACTGTGCAGGCTACTTGAGAGGGATGAAACGGGAGGAGTGAGTGGCCCCGATGCCAGGCCGGCCGTGCTTCACAGGCTTGTAGGTGATGGAGAACTCGCCCAGGTAGTGGCCAATCATTTCAGGCTGTGAAGGCCAAGAGCACAACTGGGTGTCAAGGACCCGGGATAACAGCAACCCACCACTTGCCCAGCCCAGTACCCCTCACACACCTTGATTTCCACCTGGTTGAAGGTCTTGCCATTGTACACCCCGACCATGCTGCCCACCATCTCAGGCAGGATGATCATGTCCCGCAGATGTGTCTTTACCACCTCCGGCTTCTCCATGGGCGGTGCTTCCTTCTTGGCTTTGCGGAGGCGCTTCAGAAGGGAATGTTGCTTGCGGCGCAGGCCCCGGTTCAGCCGCCTCCGCTGCCGGGCACTGTACAGCTGCATCAGCTGCTCACTGTTGGAGAGGGCGCCTTGAAGACCATATATATGGGTGGCTCAGACACCCACCCTACCCAGGGGAGAAAACGGAAGCCTGGACCTCCAAGGTTGCACTTAAGTCTGTATCATCCTGACAGTTCTCCCCACATCGCACCAAAAGCACTGGACATGCCAAGGCCAAGTGGCTCAGTTGTGGAGCAAAGTCCTCCAAAGATTCCAGAAGAGTCGTGGTGTTTGACTCATTGATAGAACAGGTGTTTAGCATGCCAGAGGCCCTGGGTTCCATCCCTAGCAAGGGAGCTCCTCAATGCTGGCTATTCTCCAGCTGACACCAGGTCCTGGCCGGTCTCCCTTCCCGCCTAGACAAAATGATTGTCGCCCACTTGCACTTGTGGCTGGTTTTAAAAAAACCCATCCTTGCCTAGGAAGAATCCAGAGTCGGCCAGGTCTTCCAGACCGAGGTCTATCACCTCCCGCCCGTCTTTACAGCACACGTGGGTTAAACGTGTGGTCTACATCTCCAAACAGTTGGAGAAACGCCAGAAGTGGCCCAAACCTATAATCGTAGCTGTTCAGAAAGCTGAGATCGGGAGAATAGCGGTTCGAGGCCAGGCTGAGCAAATAGTTCGTGAGACGCCCTCATCTCCAAAAATAAGCAAATAATGGACTGGAGGCGTGGCTCAAGCGGTAGAGCGTCTGCTCTGCAAAACCTAAGCCCTGAGTTCAAACCCCAGTCCCAAGCCCCAAAAAAAAGGTACACAAGCCGCCGCTGTCCTTCGTGCTAACCAGGGAGCCCCCCACACCTCCGCCGTGCCCCTTACTAGGACATGTCCAGAAGCTGGTCGAGGTCCACGCCGCGGTAGGTGAACTTGCGGAAGGTCCGCTTCTTCTTCTGCTCCACTTCCGCCTGCGCGACGGCGGGCTGGGGGTGAGCAGGAGCCCAAGACCCAACCCCCAGATCCAGGGCGGTCCCAGAACTCCTGGCCCCAAAGCCCGTGGGGAGATACTACCCCGAGAACCTCACAAGGAGCGCACGCGGTCCGGGCTACGCGGACTCGACAGGGACATGCGAGCCAGACGGGCCTTCTCCAAAGCCAAGGGTCCCGACACCCACTAGGCCCGCCCCACACCCCCATCTGGACCCGTGGAGAGGGTTGCCGCAGGAACAGGGCCTGATCCCGACCCCCACGGAACAGCCAGGGTTTGGATGGCGTCGGATAGTCCTGCCACAGGCGCGCAGACCAGAACTCACCATCTTGCCTACTCGTCGGAAAAGACCGTACTTCTGGTGTCAGCGCAATTATCGCGAGGCCGCCTGCAGGTCCCGCCCCTAAGCTGTACGCACCCTTCCGCCTTTCTGGAACTGATGCGCTCCCCCTGCTGTTCGGAGGACCGAGCGCAGGCAGCGGAGGTCAAAGGCTGCTTAGGGTCTGCACAGCCCCTTCCAGAACGCGGGGATTTTTCTTATGTGGCTGCTACTTTCTGAGCCTCAGTACGTGCTCTGTAATCTACGTAACAGCACCCACCTCAACAATTATTTATGGATCGCCTACTGTTTGCCAGCAGGTGTGATTTGGGTTTCTAGGCTCACTGGGAGAGGTAGAGCTAACAGAAGGGGAAGGGATGGGATCCTGACTTCCCTGAAAAGAACCAGTCAGGCTTTAATAGACATAAAATTAAATAACTTAAAGTTAACAACTTAAATAACTTCAAGTTAATAAACAATGGATGGCTTGAGTTTTTGAAGTACAAAAGTTATCTTTAGTAAGAATAATAGGGGGTGAGGGTTGTAGAGCTCAGTGGTAGGCGCTTGCCTAAGCATGCTCAAGGTACTGGGTTCAATCCCCAGCACACCAAAAAAAAAAAAAAAAACACTAAAAAACTAAAAAAGAATTAGGGGAAGTCGCCCACACCTATAGCCTAGATACTGGGGAAGCTAAGGCAGGGAGGACCGCTGCAGCTCAGGGCCAGCTTGGGCATAACAAGATCACATTATAAAAAGGGGAGGAGTGGGGACCTGGGGGCGTGGCTCAAGTGATAAAGGGCCTGTCTAACAAGCAGAAGCCCTGAGTTCAAACCCCTCAAGAAAAAAAAAAAAAAAACCCTCAAGAAAAAAAAAAAAAGACCAAAAATACTATTATGACCCAGCAAATCCACTGCTGGGTATGTGCCCAGAATTGAAAGCAGGGATTTACACAGATACACCATGTTCACAGCAGCACAATTCCCTACAGCCAAAAGATGGATACAGCCTGTGTCCATGTACAGATGAGTGGACATACACAAAGTGGTCATCTACATTAGAACATCACCCAGCCATGAACAGAGCATGGCTCTGACATATGCTACAACACAGTGCACAGTGAGAGCAGCCTTTTGTGTCTGGATAAGAAACATCCAGAACAGTCAAATTCAAGGACAGGAAGTAAACTTGTGGGTGCCAGGGGCTGGGGGAAGGGCTAAGGTGGCTGCTTATGGGGACCAGACTTCCCTTTGGGGTGATGCAATGTTCTGGAACTAGATAGTATTTTAATGGAGACAAGTGGGAAGTTCTGGAGATGAATGGTACACTGCAATGTGAATGTGTTCTCTACTTAAACTGACTGAAGGTGGATGGGTGCCAGTGGTTCATGCCTCAGGATGCAGAGATCAGGAGGATCGAGGTTCAAAGCTAGCCCTGGCAAATAGTTCCCAAGACTCTATCTCAAAAAAACCCATCACAAAAAAGGGCTGGTAGAGTGGCTCAAGTTGTAGGCTCTGAGAGCAGGGGGGAGAAATGACCCAAACAATGTATTGCACATGTGAATAAAAAAAAAAAAAGGCGTAGGCTCTGAGTTGAAGCCCCAGTACTAGAAAGAAAAAAAAAAAAAAAAGACTGGAGGTGGAATTTAGTGGGAGGCAAAAAGTTGTTCCCCAGTAAGAAAAATTAGTAAGACAGTAAATTTCAAGTGCATTTTACTGATTTTATTTTGAGACAGGGTCTTGCTATGTAGACCAGGCTGCCCTGTTAGGAGGGAGGCATCTAGGACAGAGAACAGTACAAAGGCCCCAAGGTAGGGATCTGGATGCTGCTCAAAGGAAAGGCCAGTACCTTCTCCATCTGACTGTATGGTGCCTCAGTTTCCCTGTGAGTGAAGCTGGGACCCTGTGCTTTTGGTGGCTGGTTGTCTCATCCAGCACAGGTCAGGATACACAGAAGGGCCCAATAAATGTTTAGGAATTTATTAATGTAAAAGAAATGTCCAGACAAGGAATTGGGGAAAACTGGGAAGTTAAGTAGTTCCCAACAGGGTCCTCTAGCTAGGTGCTGGAGGGAGCCAGCCCTGACCTCTGGCTCCAAAGCTCAGCCTGTGTGAAAACTCCCCAGAACCCATGGGGACTACTGAACCTGATGGCCCTTCAAGAAAGCTGAGCAATCGGGGTTGGGGATTTAGCTCAGTGGAAGGGCGCTTGCCTGGCAAGTGTAAGGCCCTGAGTTCGGTCCCCAGCACCGAAAAAAAAAAAAAAAAGGAAAAATAGAAAAAAAAAAGCAAAACAAAAAAGACAAAAAAAAAAAAAAAGAAAGCTGAGCAATTCCACAATTCCTGAGCAAGGGAGTGGGGGGGAGGCGGGGGGAGGGGAGAATTTAACTCTTCCCAGGAGAACCATACCCAGGGACACCCAAGTGCCTGTGTCAGAAGCCTGCAGTCACTGTCAACTACAAGCATTGTGGCTCTTGACGCTGTCCTGAGAGCTCTTGCCAGCTGGAAACTTGATTTCTGCACAGCACTCCTTTGCTAGGAGACTGTCCGTAGTTGTACAGGACATCATTCCTACTCGTGGAAGCACATAACTACTTCCCACTGCTCCATCAGACCCCCGCCCTCTTGTGTACTGGGGGCAGCAGCAGCTGAGACTGTGGGGGCACTTAGGTGTGGGGTGGCAAATCTGGACAGCTCATACCAGCAGGTACAAGAGACACCCCTTTCCTTAGCTCACTCCAAACCAAGTGGAATCTTCCCTGTCCCCAAAATATGATTGGGGCTGAGTATTTCTGGCTGTACTATCCATTTTCAAGACTGATACACTGTAGGTACCAGTATATTTGGGACTTTTTTGACCCTTGCTACATTTTAAAACCTTTTAATGTGATCTCTCTTCTAGAGTAGGGTGCTAGTCATTCCACCAGATATCCCCCTTTCTCATACACAGAACCTGTGATGCCAGTTGTGAAAGATGTGATTAAAGACCCTTGTTTGGAGAAATGGCTGATACTAGAGCTGCAGCTTACAGGAACCCAGCCCTTGCAGTGCCACAGTGCAGGAGCTGCGGGGCTCAGGCCACCATAACCCACATCCAGAGACACTTTGAGCAGCCAATGATGTCCTTCCATTCACACCTGCCAGAAGCCCCAGGCCTATGTAGGAATGGGTCCCTAGACCTTGCCTCTGTCCACCAAGTCCACAAGCAAGGCCAGGGCGTGTCTGGGTTCCAGATTTTTCCCTGGCATAAGAGGGGGAACACTGGGAGGCCATGGAGAGAAAGAACAGACACGACAGATGTGGGTTTCTAATCCAAACGCACTTCTCTTTATTCAAACCAGGGTCAAACTGGTCAGTGGGAAACACCCTGAAGCCATGTGGCGCAAGGGAGGTGGGCTTCTAGCAAGGCATAGCCTGCTGCATGGGGTCCAGACCACCCAGGATGTTAGCGCTGCCAAATGGGCCAGGCAGCCAGCCTGTGACCCACCCCACAGTGTACCGCAGACACAACCAGGCAGGCCAGCCAGCAAAAGCAAGGAATGAACAAAAAACAAAAACACACTCAGTAGATTTCTTCTTTAGCTCCCAGAGTTTCTGGACCAATAAGTCCCAACCCCCAAGCCAGGAGCAAGGGGACAAAAAAAATCGCCCCAACTCCCACCAGTGCCTACGGAACCCTGTTTTAAATTAAAAAATAAGCCAGTATACATTGTAGAAAATTTCTCTTAAAAATCTCACAATTTGTAAATGTATATTTTTTTCTTTAACATAAAAGTTTACAATATAAGGTAAAACAAAAGGCTCAGGAAATAATCTCAAAAAAAAAAAAAAAAAAAAAAAAAGAAAGAAACCTGAAGTTTGAATTAAAGCTGAAGACATTTTTTTTAACCCTGTTGTTGAACCAGTGACTTGTTTTTTATTGTGCTGATGGGTCAGAGAAAGAAATATATTTAAAAACCTCAGTCCAGATACCCACAGCCGCTTCCACAGCCTCCACCCCCCCACCCCCCCAGGTTGAGTCGCTATTTTTCTGCTGAGTTTGTGATTGTCACGAGTTCACAAGTTCCGAATCCTGGTCTCAGCCGGTGCCGATGTTACTGATGCACAACTAGCGTCGGTAGGGGTGGAATCCTTGCACGTTATGGTTCTGACCACGTCCAAAGCCACTGCCGCCAGCGGGGGGACCTCCTGATCCTGGAACGGAGGGACCCCCGTAGGAGGGGGGCTGCTGGCTAGGGTCGGAGAAGCCCTGCCCAAAGCCACTCAAGTCTTGCCCATAACCTGCTGGGGGAGAAGTGTCCATGAGCTCTGGATCACTGGGAACAGAAGCCTGCCCAGCAAGCCAGCTCTGGACTGAGCCACTCCTCCTGGACTTGTCTCTGAGAAGAGGGTGCCAATGCCTGGCCTCACTGTCTGCGGGTCCCACAGTTGTGGCTTGGATGAGATGTCTTAGCAGGGAGACAAGTCCAGGGAGTTTTTAGCTTTCAGAACCTTGTGAGTGGAACCCACACAGAAAGAAAAGCACCTTCCACATTCTTCATGGGCCTCCTCCCATGCACTCGGAACACAGCAGGAAGGAATGAGAGACTCTGGGGTTGGAATGAACCTTATCTGACATGCTGTGGAGATGCATGGCTTCTAGAACATTTGCCCTTACATGCAGCACATGATGTCTCGGACTTAAAAAGCATGGGGCAGGCCTGTATCTCCCACTTCTGGGGCTGGGCCCCAGACCCACAGTCCTCCCTCATCTCCAAGTTGCAGCCTAGCCATGCAGTTTAATAACACCGTCTGCAGCTACCCTGGGGCATCACAGCTGATGGCGCAGGTGGCAGGGAGAGGATCTTTGTGTCCAGCCTAACTTAATAGTGACTCCATCAGCTGAGCCGACTTTTTGTCCCTAACAAGAATTGACACCCACACTGCCCACCTCCAGGTGGGTGGGAAAAGCTTCTGGGAAAGGGGATGGCATCAGAAAGGCTGGGCCCTTCTTCGGTCCTCCCAACCACACTCTGAAGGATGCCCTGACCAGGCCCTCTGGATTCCCAATGGGGTACA